AGGGTGGGATGCTTCTATTACAAATACCAAAATATGTGCAAGTGACTTTGGAACTGGGTAATGGGTAAAGTCTGGAAGAGTTTAGAGGTTCATGCTAAAAAAGAACAGCTAGATTGCTGTGAAGGAATTTTTAAAAGTGATTCTGGTGAGTGGTCATAAAAAAAGAGGGAAGCTGGAAAGAAAGACTCTCCTCTTCTTAAATAATATTTAAACAATCCACGTATAGAATGTTGAAAGGAATATGGATGATAAAGGTCATTCTGATGAAGTCTCAAATGGAAACAAGGAACATATTATTTGGAACTAGAGAATAGACAATTGTTATAAATTGGGGAAGAACTTGGCTGAATTGTATTCATGTCCTAGTGTTTCGTGGATGGTAGAACAATTGAAGCAGAGGGAGGTTAAGTCACTTGCTCCTAGTTATGGGGCTGGTAATGTGGGCACCAGAAAGGAACCAGAGCTGGAGTTGTAACTGCTGTATACCTTTCCCTCTCCAAGAGTTGACAGGGTGGACTGGGCAGTATACAGTGAGGAGGTTTGGGTTAAATGGTGCTCCAGGACAGAAGAAATGATCGATCAGTGTGATACATGAATAAATGTGGCCTTAATTAGGTTTTCCTAGGACTGATTTACATTAAGCAATAATCTTGTTTTGGTGCTTTTCCATTTTAGGAATATAGAAGAGCTGTGACAGTTAGATATTGTCATTCCAAAGGCCTAAAAGAAAAAAAGTGAGACTATGTATGTGGAAGTGCTTTGCAATCTGCAGAATGACATATGGATATCACACTCGTTCCCCAGCTCAGGGCACCCTGTCTGACATGGAGACACTCAGTAACTATTTGTGAATGAATAATCTTATGATTCAGGAAGAAATAAAGTATATACACACATACACAGTATGTACATGTGTATTTCCCCACTAGATTACGAGCTCCATGAGTGCAATGTCTTTGCCATTTCTGTGTCCTCAGTGCTTTATAGAATGACCTAAAATGTTTGTGATTAATAACTATTATGGTGCCTCTCGTTTTGTTTGGGGTCTTTATGGGACAGACTGTCTCTCTTTGGGGCCAGATGAAGGGATTGATAGGAATCACTGACTTATTACTACGGAGCCCTGTTTATATATTCTACATAGTGGGACTCAAGGGTTTGAGGGTTAAGTGCTGAAAAGTGGCAGTAGGGAAGGTGACATCCCCAGTGGCTCAGCTGCAGCTCCTCTCATCCACAGGCCATGAAGGGATAGGGGTTTGCATTGAAGTGGGCAAACCAGCATAGAGACAGGGTTGCTTTGTTTCCTGGATGACTGTTTTCCCTAGTCCATTGAGCCAGAAAGTAAGTCTTTCCCCACCCAGTGACCAGGGGATGAGTAAACAGTCTTGTCTGTCATGTAAAGAAGCAAACACGTTAGACTGGTCTGGCCAGTGAGTTGTGGGGCTTGGTGTGAACAATGTGTCCTGTGAGTAGTATGGTCACAATGGCATGGTGGTCACTTTGACCAGTGGAGTTGTTGATGGACAGGGAGCAGGGGAGGATCACAGGACTGAGGCAGTGTGACAAGGAAGTCTAGCTTTGACAACAGACGCAGAGAGTTTCATACAAAAGGAATGGAGTGTTCAAAGTGCAGCACAATCACCCAGCCCAGAACAAGGTGACCTGATCTGGCCTATGGTTATGTCAAATGCAAAGGAAAGAAAAGTCGGGGGTAAAAGTGGCAGTGAATGCAGCAGCCAAAGGCAGAAACATCGAAAAAGCTCTACTAACCTACGTTTGCATCTGGGTCAGTAAACCTCTTATCATTACAAGCCCACACCACGCACACGTGAGGAGGGCTGCGACAGAAAGGATCAGATAGACAACGGTGTGGTTGAACTGGCCCACTCTGACCACCTCCCCGGGAATGGAGTCTTCATGATCAGAAAGAGCGTGACATGTGTATACATTGGGAATGTTTGTATCGACCATTTTACCAAATCTGTATGTAATTTACTCTAGTGCAATTTCTTGCTCTCAAATAATTTGTTAATCTAAAGTCTCAGTTAAAAAAATGTGGGTATTGTCTGACAAAGAAATAGCTGAGCCCTGGTGGACCTGCTGGTTATCATCATCCGTGTTACCAAGGCCAATCGTATGACGATTTGCTTTACAAATGGCATTCTAACCAGGGACCTGCATTTATTCCCAAATAGGAAAAGGGGAGACAACTGGTGTGTACAAAGGTTTCAACCCAACTGGACCCACTGGACCTTTCAGCAAGGCTTGAGGGGCATCATGCACACATGTTCATCTAGTAGGAGCCCAAGAGCGCAGAATAAAAATTAGGTGGTGCCAGAACTGGCTAAGCATTGTTATTAGGGCCTAGATATTAAAGAAGTTACAAAGCCCAAATTAAAAGAATAGGATAATTTATCAGTCATTAGGGAAGTTGAAGTCCATGTTACCCCAACTTTTTGACTCTACTTCATTTAATTGGGATTTTAGCACTCCCAGCTATTCCAAAACTATTGATTTTTTTTAAAACTTGAGCCTCAAAAACAGACAAAAGACTATATATGATATCACTCTAATGATTTATCTTAAGAATCTGTGAACTGTGGAATCATGATTGTTAGGACTGAGAGACACCTGCTCACCTTTCTGAAATAAGGAGCTGAAAAGATATTCTGAGATTTAGAAAGGGTAAGGTATACAATGTTGACCTTTTGGAGACAGGAAACCTTTGATGAACTATAGGACACCAAGACAGTTCATTTAAAAGACAGTTTCAAAGCCTTATCTGGGGCTGGTTTTCTATGTGCTTTACTGAAGCTCTTGGGTTGTCTTTTTACATAAATCCAGCGAAATAATGGTTTCCACAGTTGTTCATATGTCTGCAACCCTCATGTGGCACCTTGGCTTCTAAGCTTTGTAACTGCTTTTCAGTCTCTTTTGTGGACAAAATTAAACTTTTCTTACCATTTGGCAGCATGGAACTTTGCTGCAATGGGTTGTTAAGGAGAAAAGAGACAGGAAGAGGTCACCAATACCATCTCCATGTAATTAAGGCAGTGCAAAGAGCTAAATAAAATTGTTGCTAATGACATTTACTCGATTCTACAATATGAGTCCTTGCTCTGGTCTTGGAGTAAGCTAAGGATCAGCTGCTTATAAAACGTACAGATTGTAAACCTTTGTTGCAGGTAACAGGGTATGAATTTTTTAAAAAGGCAGCTTTACTTTAGGGCTGTGTTTAGGCTTGCTTGTTCTTTTTCTCTCTGCCTCTTTCCGTCTCCCTCTGTCTGTCTCTGTCTCCTTTCTCCTCTCTCTCTCTCTCTCTCTCTCTCTCTCTCTCTCTATATATATATATATATATATATATCTCAAATATATACACACAATAGTACCCCCTTATCTAAAGGTTCACCTTCTGTGTTTTCAATTACCTGTGGTCAAATGTAGCCCAAAAATATTAAATGGAAAGTTCCAGTAATAAACAATTCGTCAGTTTTAAATTGCATGTCATTGTGAGTAGCCTGTTGAAATCTCATGCCCTCCCACTTCGTCCTGCCCAGGATGTGAATTATCACTTTGTCGAGTGTACCCATGCCACGCTACCCACCCCTTAGTCACGTAGTAGTTGTCTTGGTTACCAGTTTGAAAAGCACAGAAAATATAGGGTTCAGCACTATCCATGGTTTCAGGCATCTGCTGGGGATCTTGGGATGCATCCCTCATGGTTAAAGGGGGAACTACTGTGTACACTAACATTTATATATATGTATTTGTATGAATATGTATGTACACACACACACATGTATCATACATATATGCGTATATGTTTTTGTAAATAATTAAGAATAATTGATTTTGTAAATAATTTAGAATAATGAATAATTAGAATTATAATAAAAATAAATAATAAGGAACAGGTTAAAACAGAAAATAGGGCTCAACATCAATAGGGCTCAACATCGATTTATAGATTGAGACTGACCGTCTACCAAGGTATAGCATGTAATCAAGGAATGAATTTATCCTCTTTTATCTCTTAAAAGACCCTAAAAATCCAAAGTAATCTATGAATTTTTTTTTTGGTACTGGATATGGAATTAATGAAACTGTCTCGATATATATATATATATATATATATATATGAAAGTTAACACTTCAAAATGCTAAGCTTAAACTTAGAAACTTAGAGCAGTAAAAAATAAGTCCCAAACAAAATTGTGTTTTTATTTACTAGACACATTATTATTTAGGTACACAACAAATAACATCAGTAAGGATGCACTATATTGACCTTCCAATCTAGCAGAAGAGACTAAGAAATAAACAATTGCATATTGTGTGATGTGAAATGTAAGTCAGGATCTTATGGGAGTAGGGTGGAAAGCAGCACAACACACCCAGTCCACATCAGGAAATGTTGTTTCCTGGGAGGAGAGATGCTCGTGCACCATGCGTACCATCAGCTCATGGCTGATCATGCTCACCATCAGCACGCATGGCTGACAGGTGAGCAAAGGGTCTTCACCATAGAGGTACGACCGTGTCATATTCTGGACAGGAGAGAGAGCAGGTAAGTTTGAGTTGCCAGAGTTTAGGGTATGTAATGAGAGGCTGAAGAGTCCATTGAAGGAGTTGCTACTTTTCCATCAGGCCACCTTTGTGAAGCCTTTTCTGACAACTGGAGCTGGCAGTTCCCTTCACTGTGTTCCCAGGACTTTTTGCATATTTCTATTATTGGACTTTTTCCACCCAATTTAATTGTTCATGCCTGATTTCCATACTTGTCTGTAGGATAACCAATGTCAGAACTGTCTCCGGTTCTTACTGTACGTAAGACATAGAAAATAGTAAGTGCTCAATACATGTTAATTAAACACATTCGTGAGTGACTGGCTGGCTGGACGACTGAGTGATTATACAGTTTGGGAACAAGAAAGTTAAAAATTGCCTTGGTTATCAAGCAGCCCTCACAAAACCTTCATGGTTCTATTTTTCTATTTCAGGTTACTTGCAGCATATGATAGCCTAACGGATAAACACCTGACTGGATATTTTAACAATACAAGGATAAGGCGGCATCTCTTGAGATCAGGGCTGGTAAGATTTGGTTTACTTTCTACTCACTTTCTTGTTTCATTAAGTCCAGTAATTTCCTACCTTTACAGGTTTCCTCTTTAACCAGTGACATCTTTCCCTTCCTCATTTTAGAACTATCCCTTCTTTTCTAAAGTTCTGATTTATGTATTTGAGGCTTTTTCAAAAGATGGGAAGACAGGTCACACTGCCTGCTAACGAAACTTGTAAGCGATTGAAGAAAAGGCCCCATGAGTTTCCAACAGCATATTTCATTTATTTGTTTATTCATTCATTCAACACATATTTATCAGACACATTCTGTGAGTGAGAAACTGTGAGGGTTTAAAGATCCAGACTACAGTCTTCAGAAAAAATATTATTTTTAATGTTCACAGAATATGGTGTGGAAGACGTGAACAGTTCAACATTTCCCCTTGAATTTTTAAGTTTTTATTTCCTGTGATGGTTTATTGATATGGCTTCAAAACTGTTCTTTTCACAAAATTTCCATTCCCCTAAATGTATATAATGTGAAAACCTTTAAAAAATATTATGGTTTTTCACTGAAAGAAAGGGGTGTGGTTATGGAAAGCAGTTAGCTGTTTAGCTTCTTGAAACACAGTTGGTTTCCTTAACTATTGTTGCCATGGTGTTGAAAGGACATGCATTGAGCTTCTAATTGTTGTTTATGTGCTTGGCACTCTAGCTGATAGATCTCAGAGAGCTTGCTTTTCCACTCCTGAGGCTTCGTTATTAGACAGAACTGGCTGAAACCTGGCTCTGCCATTTATAAGACTTAGAATCTTAAGCAAATCACTCTTAACTCTCTTAACTTTTTCAGCCCCAACTTCCTAAATTGTAAAACGAGGATGACACCCAGCTATCATAAACTGTTTTTTTGTTTTGTTTTTGGAGACAGGGTCTTGCTTTGTCACCCAGGTGGAAGTGCAGTGGCATCATCATAGCTCACTAATCTCAAACTTCTGGAGTCAAGCAATCCTCCTGCGTCAGCCTCCCGCATAGCTGGGACTACAGATGTGTGCCACCATGCCTCGCTAATTTTTATATTTTTTTGTAGAGATGAGATCTTGCTATGTTGCTCAGCTTGGTCTCATGTGATCCTCTCCCCTCAGCTTCCTAAAGTGCTGGGATTACAGGTGTGAGCCACTGTGTCCAGCCCTTCAGGATTGTTGTGACAGTTAGAGGCATGCAATAAATGGGTGTTGATATTATTGTTACTATTAATGTCACTGCTTTGGAAAATGGCCTGTGAGTTTCATGTACAAATGGGAAGACTTTGTATTTACTTATCAGCATCATTAACAAGCACTTATTGAACACTGCATGGAAACTCAAGAAAGATACAGCCCTTTTTCTAGAGCAGTGGTTCAAATATAAGTCCTCAACCAGCATCACCTGGGAACCTGTTAGAATATACAAATGCGAGAGCCTTACCCCAAACCTACTGAATCAGAAGCTCTGGTGTGGGCCCATTGATTTTTCAACAAACCCTCCAGGTGATTCCAATGCAAGTTCAAGGTTAAGAACCACTATCCTATAGCAGTTTCCAGTCCAGGTGGGGAGATCAGGCATAGTCCCAGAGAAGAGATCACAATGACACATGTTCACTGCCAGAGAAGTGGCAGTCAGGATGTTATAACATTTTCCCCTAATTTGACACATGTGACATGATACTTCATGGATAACACATTCAAAGACTAGCTGGTTTATTTGTAATTCCAAGCACTTTCTATAGCCACACTTATTTCTTCCACTGGAGCAATGTATTTATTTAAAAAATATTATCAAAACCCATCACTTGTAGCACAACTCTAGGTGATCTCAATAGTCCAGTATGTTGCAACAATGTTAAAAAGAGTACAGTTAGCAGAATTAAGAACAAAATTATTAAGAAATATACAGCTTGAATTAAACCTCAAGAAGAGAGCAGAGTTTAAATACGTGGAAAACAAGAAGATGAACAATTCAGAAGGATAACACCTTTTGTGTAATGGAGATAGAGAAAAATATAACAAATACACTCATAAGAAAGATTAAAAGAAAAGAGAAATAAGTAAATAAGAAAACAGAAACTGCCACTCCTGGGACTTGCAATGATGCCAATTGAAAGCAATATTGAATACCTTCTATCTATAGTACTGCATAATATGTAAAATTCTGAATCACAACAAATTAAATTACATTCTGGGCTAGAGAGCAGCAGAAGAAAAAGCAGTGGGAAAACAAAGTAATGAAACCAATTATTTTTAAAACAAATGATAAGATTCTCTGCAGCTCGCATGTTTGCCCTTCAGAGTATTTCCTGTGAGATCATCAGTCCTGTGATCACTGCTCCTGTCCATTGCTTCAAGGTAGCACCCCAACCTCGTCTCCCCGGAAAGTGTTCAAAAAGAGAAATGAAAAGAACACCTGGGTTCCATCAAGGGAAAATTGTTACTCTAATGAAAACCTTGTTTTAAACGTCAAGTGCACCACCTGCGTGTGTTTTCACAATGATGGGTATATGAGACCGCCTTTCTCCTTTTTGCCTTATGAAATATTCATTAAAAAGGGAAGTGTATCAGCCATAGTGGTGTACTCCTTTAGGTTTAGAAGATACTGCTACGTTTACCCTCTCCCTCTCCCTTCCTTCCTTTCTTTCTCTCTCTCCCCCTCCTCCCTGTCTGCCTCCCTGCCTCCTTTTTTGGCAACTAAGAACACATTTCTACTTTGTATTTCTATGTATATTTTATTTATCATGACAGATCACAAGAAGTGGAAGAATACTTTCTGAAAAAGAATACAAACTAAACATCATGAAGCGAGATCACCAAAAATATATCCGGGAGTGCTTGGCCCAGGCTATTTTCCATAAGGTTCTTGATATGGAGGTACAAATATTTACTATTTTCTTTATAATTGATATTTTCTAATATGATAATTAACAATGCTTTTGTAACCCAGAAGCAGAGGAATTTTTTCCTATATTTCATTAAAAAGGAAAGGGAACAAAGAAATACTCTTTATCTCTCTGGATATCCAGCAGCCAGGAGGCTAGTGTAAGCTTTTCTTCATTTCAGTTGGGGAAAAATATGGACATCATTATATTTTTGTGATATTTAATTCTCCAAATGTAGATTTTTAATCCACAATGGCTACTCTAAAACATACCAGCCCTCACCATCTGTACCTCAATTTTCATTTGCTAAAAAAAAAAAGTGACATCTGTTTAAATATCAGTAATTCCACAACCATGAATTATTTCAGATCTGTTATTCTTTTAAGGCTCTGAAGCTCAGCCGTATGTTAGGTTTCAAGGAATAGGCATTTTAACATCTGCTGTCCCTCCTACTTTAGGACACATCGGTCAACATAGATTCACAACCCAAGCATCAACAATTTTTTTTTTAATCTGACCGGGCATTTTTTATGGGATATCTAGCTAATTTGATAAATTATTTCAGCCTTGCTCCATAGAGCTTGTAGTTTCAAGCATCAACAGCATTTTAATCTCTGTGAAAAAGTGTGTCACTTTTTGGCTTGCCTGTACAGCAGTAAATCAGAAAACTTGGCTCATAAAACCATTGACCTGTAAGTGCAGTAAACATTTATGAACAACTGTAGGATCATCAGTAAACCAATACTAAGTGTAATGCCACTAAAAATATTTATTATTATGCCACCATTATAGTGAGCAAGTGGAGTGTTCACTGAAGGTGTGCATAATCTGTTAATTTAAGAATTCATTTTGTGCTTTATATCATGTGTATGAATAATACAGAATCAGTGTCCCTGAAATTCCTTTGTTTATAAGTCTTAGATGCAACTTTTCAACTCTGCTAAAAAAAATAAATAAATAGTAGAGCATAAAATTTATCTATATCTAGTTTCAAACATAATCAACAGGCACTGAGTTCAGTATTAGCCTTGATCCTTGAAGTTCAGTTTTCCAAAATTTCATACAATTGAAACATTGTAACACATCATAACTGTTAAATATGCTACTATTTAAGAATCTTTGTGCATTCTTAAAATTTGGAATAAATATCCAAGATAAATGTTAATATGTAATATACTAAATAACATATTTTATATATAATCAAATACATAATAATTATAAGATATATATTAATAGAACATACAAATATTTCTTTTTAAATTGTCACACTTATCTCACATTCACTTTAAGCTGATGCTGTTTACTAATATTGTTATGTTAATATACATATATTCACTCATGCAGCAAGCAGTAATTTCAAGTTTCACATACTACCATGTGCTAGTATGAGGCTATGTATTGTAGCTGTGAGATATAACTTTTAAAAAATACTGTAGAAAGTAATTGAGTGCTAGAAGAAAGGAACAAACAGACCAAGCTCAGAAAAGAAGGGAAGGATGACTTTCCCCTGTGGGAGTCAGAAGAAGCTAACAGAGGTCCTGCTGTTTGAACTGCTCCTTGAAGACGGAGTAAGAGTTCCCATGAAAATGTGGAAAAGGCATTCTAGAAGTATGAAGTTGCAGGGGTGTGAAAGGATGTTGCGAATGGAAAGAAAGCTCACCGAGGCCAGACTGCACAGTGGATTTGGTGGAAGGAGTGGCAGGAAGTGGCACTATCCAACACGGTGGGGCCCAGTTTCTGAAGAGCCTTAAATGTAGGTGATAAGGCAATGAGACACTTTTCAGCAGGGGAGTGAAATAAATTAGCAGAGCTGTTTTAGAAAGATGATGTTGCTAAAAATGTGGAAGATGGATTAATGAGCTGGAAAAGATTAGAGGTGGGAGGTCAATTAGGAAGCTATTGCCAAAGGGTGAAGAAGGCTAACAGCAGTAGCAGTAATGCTGGGAGATGCAGCTGTCTACAGAGAAATTGGAGAGGGAGAAAGACTGAAGCTGACTGGAGAGGGAGTGGTGAGGGAGAAGGGGCCCAGAGCAACTGAGGTTCTAGCCTGGTCGGTCGTATGTGCACCAAGGAGATCAGGAATACAAACATACATGGGCTGGAAAGAAAGCATCAAGTGGTGAAAAACATGCTTGATAGAATAGTGTCCTGGAAGCCAGGAGGTTCTGACAAGCTGCAGTGGGTAAATGAGGTGAGCACTGGGAGCAATGGAAATCGAGGTTGACCCAGAAGACAAAGACATAGGTGTCAGTGAGAGTAGTTTCAGCCGTGGTGAAGGTAGGTCCCTGGTGGGGAGTGACTGCAGTGAGTTGGGGATAAATGGAAGGTGGAAGGTGGTTGATAGTGAATTTAACAGTTTGGTGATAAGTGGGAGAGCGATCAAAGGAAGATGGAGAGAGGAAAGGGAAGTGTCAAGATGCGGATTGATGATACTTAGGCGGGAAATGATTGAGTCTGCAGGGTCCCAAAGGCAGCAGGAGGGGAATCAAGAATAGGGGAAAAACATTTTTTCAAAGGACCAATAAATAAAACACTTGCAAATGTGTCTGAATAATTTCAAATGGAATTGTAAGCAGATTGTTTTTATGTGAGGTTTACTTTTAAAGTATATTTTATTTATTTAATTTTATATTTTATTTTAAAGTATAGAATATTACAAAAAATCTGGAAAACACACAAAAAGCATAAAAAAAGAAAATAGTCACATAGAATTCCTTCTTTCAGAGATAACTGCTAACATTCCAGGTTCAAATTACAGCTGTCCCATTGATGGATGTATGACCTGGGGCAAGTTTATGATTCCCTGCCTCAGTTGTTTTGTTTGTAAAATGGGACTGCTTTGGCAGTTAGAGTTGTTCAAGAGAAATGAGGTAGCAAAGAACATTCCTAGCATAGGGACATACGCAATGTGAGCTTGATCAATTAAATTGTATTTCTATGAAATTCTGGATCCTGCTTTTTTCCTGCATTAAACAAAATCTTTATGAACTTTAAGGATTTATTATATTTTATTTCATCCATGGATGTGCCAAAATTGTAACCATTCTCCTCAAAATTTATATATATCTGCATTTTTTTTTTGCTTTGAAGAAAAAGAAAAACTTTCAGATAGCAACTTTGTGCATAAAACATTTTTTAAAATTATTATTCAGATTATCCTCAGGTTTAGAAGTGAAATTTACTGGTTAAAGGTTATGAACACTTTTAACTGCCTAATATATGTTCAGAATTGGATTTCCAAATAGTTGCACATTGATGCCGGTGATTCTTCTCCATCTCAATGACAAGAAGGGTAATTGAGAGTATAGTTAACTATTGGACTTATTTCCCTTAAAAAATTCTTTGCCATAACTGATATGATTCTCTTCTTTATTCTTTCTTATATGCTCAGCGGTACCATCAGCTTGAAATAAAAAAGAAATTGGAGACCTTAGCCAGGAAGGAGAGAATTCAGAGATTTAAGGTAAGGAGCCACATAGCTCTCTTTTAATTCATAACATTATTTTATGATTTCAAAAGCTAGTGATACTATTATTTAAGTTCTCTGAGGCATCTTATTTTTGGGTAACACATAGATAAGGTCAAATGATGATTCTACCAAGCCTAAATCTTGGCCGTCATCATTATAGAGGGTCATGACAAAAATAGGAGCTATTTGTGAGAAATAAATTTTAATAAAACCTTTCAAAGACAAACTTGAAAATGTTCTTTTCAAGTTTAAAACTTTGCTTTTATATTTTCTTGTGATAGAGGCTAAAGGAATTTTCTTTGTCCTAAGGTAAAAATAGATGATAATGTTCCCAATGTCATGAAAAACAGGCTTTTTAAGAATTATTGTAGGTTTTCCAGAGTGCCAAGGGGGGAAAAAAAGGAATTATACAATGGCACATTTTCACGTGAATATGACCCTTGAAAATATGTGGTGGAAAGGATCTTCTTCAGCAAAAGAAAGCATAAGGCATTCGTACAAGGCACTTTAAAATTCCTTGTTTGTTTTCTATTTATTTCATATCCCTTGTTTGTAGTGAACTTATGAAATATACAAATTTGAATCCAGACGTAGATTCAACGTTTGATGGATTTCAGTTTAGGTTGGCAGTTTTACTCAGTTTTTTGTGCCATTCAAACTCACGTTTTTCTTAATTTTCTGTATACTGCTGCATTACAAATGTGAGGCCTAAGACATGTTTCATAAACTGATGAATATTTGTAAAGCGTCTTCAGAATAACTTGCCATAAAAGATAGTAATTTTCCCCTCTTGCCTTTTAAGACTCAAATCTATTTTATCAGGGTCAAAAGATAATCTTATTATAAAAGTGTTATTAAATGACAGAAGATGGGTCAGTTTTTGAAGATCAAAGAGTTGGTGCATAGAGATTTGTGGTTAATTCAACTTTGCTGATATTGTCCTACATCAAGGACTGAGTCATAGATTTTATAATTTATCTGCTTAAATGTTGATGGAGAAAAATGGTGGCTGGAAATAAAGAGTGATTCATACTGCTGGAAGCAGCGTGAGCTGTTATGTCTGTGCTCTTCCCACTCTTGCCCAGGTTACCAGACACGCTAGACTCAGTACCTGGGCATATTATAGCATTGGCAGAGATTTGCCATAGATACTCCGGTTCCTTCTCATGTGATTTTTATTTGTAACAATTTTCATTTTATAGCTGCAGTTGATGTAAGATATATATTTAGGTCCCTTTTATTTAATATGAAACCCTTTTTACTTACTGGCATTATTTAATTATTTTTAAGATAGAAAATACTATTTTCTTGTAGTCTACTGATGAGAGTAGTGAAGAATATTACGCTTTTATGTAGTGATTGTCTTAAGGCAGATTAATGAACAGTATTGCTGAAATTGAGCATGCACTGCTTTTGTAGGTATTTCTTTTAGCACAGTGAAAGCAGACTCACTTCCCTGCTTTTTACCAGCCTAACTCTCTAACACAGCTGTGGAAACTTTCCCCAGTGACCAAGGTAGTCCTCAAATGTAACATTCTTGAAAGAAATGAGAAAAGAGTTCCTTAGTCATATAGTATCTCTTACATGTCAGGCACTAACCAAACCTCGATTACTAACTATGCATCTATTCACTAAATTGCTTTCTTATTCCAGGGAGAGCACACAGGACGATTTATTGAAAATAACATGCCAAGCCTGTCTCCCCACCCCCCAGTTGGCCCAAAGACGAATCGTGGCCATCATCTTCAGGTTGATGAAGGACATTCCAGTCCATTAGCACTGGTGAGTCATATTAAACACTTTGTCATGCAGTTTCCCAGCTAATTAATTTATGATTTCTTATTAATCTCAGAAAGAATGCTCTCTGAGAACATGTCTACATAATCCTGTTAGTCCCGCTGGACGAAAAAATAGTCTTATAGCTGTTCAACTTTATCTCTACTGAATGTCCCATCTCCAATCAATATCACTCCTGCAAATCCATCTTGCTTGTTGCTGCTAGAATAGTTTTCTCCAAGTGCAGATTACTTATGTCACGTACATGTCCAAATACCTTCCCTGGCTCTGTATTGCCTGCAGAAAAGCCCAGACTCTTTCACAGAATATTTAAGACCCTAACCCATATGACCTCAGTTTAGCTATCCCAGTATTTTTCCCCATGGTTACCCTTTAGCATCCTACAGTGCAGCACAATTGAACCACTAGTTGTTACATACGCTTTCTATATTTTCTGACCTCTGAATTCTGTTCTTGCTATTCCTTCTGCTTCTATTTTATCTGAACAAATTCAATGGTACTGCGTAGCATGTTGGGCTAGATACTAATATCTGAGCTTCTTTCATTAAAATTATGTACCAAACTCTAAGATAAAAATAATTAAACATACAGAAATTCTAGTTGTAGAAGTTACACACTGATATTTTATTCCAGCTTGATTCATTTATAACCTAGAGGTAGTATTTGCCTGAAGGAAGGGAAGGTACCTTGAAATAATATAGGTACAGGAAAAGATTTGCAAAATATTTACTAGAGGTTGATGGTTTAAGTTCTAACTGAATTGCTTGATTACATCTTTATACTTGCTTTGCACCATCTAATATATTTCCTTGTAAGCATGAACATTTTTTTGAATTGCAAAATATTTGTGGAGAAATCGCAATGCTTTCACAGATTGTTGAAGTAGGTTCATCACATATAATGTTAAGCTTTGACATTTTTCAAAGGGTAAATATGTTTTGACATTTCCTGATGAACAACTCCAAGTGATGAAAAGCAACTGTCTTCCCTTTGTTATTACTTTATTTCCAGGTTTGATTTGAGTGTACATATATACAAATTCTTTTATTGGATGGCAAATTCACTAGACTTCCAAAAGCTTAACCTGGGTGAAACAAAAGAAACAATCAAGAGCCGTTTTCTGTCTTCCCACCTGTTTCAGAGAGGAAAAACTCTTGAAAGGCTTTCTTTTCAATTTTCCAGCTGAACACCCTCAATAAATAGTTTATGATACAGCCAGGAGATCTTAATGTGACAGGAGTGAGAAAGTAATTTAAAAATTACAGGAAACACTGACACCAGCACTTAAAAAGCCTTTCTCTCTGGTAAGCCAGGATTCTTCACTTGGTCACCCCTGATGGTGCTTTTGCACCTTAAGGGGTGACTATTGTGGTCTTGAAATTGTAGTTACCATTTTGCAGAAATTCAGGTTCCTGTTTTTGTTTTGCCATCCTGGATGCATATTCTTTAAATTTGACTCCTGACCTCCATGTGCTACTGAGATGAAGATAGTAATCCTTTTGGGGTATTGCCATTGGCTTTTTCTTTCTTAACTTTCTTGAGCAAATAAGAAAAGCATGCAGTGTAGTATTAGTGCACTTGGTCGCTAATTGCACCTAAACTTTCAAAATAGCACACAGGCTTTTAGCTGCACTGCTCCCATTAAAACTGTGGAAACTCATTTCCACTAATTCTGCATATGCTTGGAAAATTCACCCCCAGAGATCTTCTACTAAGAATTAGAAATGCTCAGCTAAGCTGAGTAATCACCAGGTAGTCAATTTCAATTCATATTCTGGTGCAGTTTTGAGAATGTTAAGCTACAGTGCCATATTTATTCCAAGAAAATATATTACAAACAATTTAAAATATAGCAAATTTAAGGTGGCTTCTGATGTGAACTACAACAGTTTGTAGCTCACAGCTGTTAGTTAATGGTGCAGATTTGTTTTTAGAGATAAACGTAATCAGTTAAACATTTGACTGCCACATTCATCTAACTGAATGATATCTGCATGCAAATTCAGGGAAGTAAAATTTAGAGCAGAACAGCCAATAGATCATGTTCTAGTTTGCAGTAACCTGCTTTCTTAAATGTCTACATTAGACTTTTCATATTTTTGTCTTCAGTTCAGTTATTTGACAGAGAGTCCTAAGACATGTTTATATAACAGAGTTCAAAAGAATTCTTTTGGGTGATCTGATTCCCTTGCTAAGAAACCTCTAGTTTAATTTCTCTTTGTGGGTTTTAAGACCTTTCGTCTTTTGGTTTATATAGGCTTATCTCCTCTTTCTTTAAATCAAATGCTGCTCTAGTCAATCTGCTTGGCTTCTTATATTGGTTGTGATATAGGACTGTGTACAGAGACCCCAAATGACAAGGGCTTAAACATTAGGTCCCCTCCCTGCCCCAACACACATATGTGAATCTTAGCTGGTATGTCATCTCTGCTCTATGAAGTCATTAAAAGCCCAGACACCTTTTTTGTTATTGATCTTCTAAACTTAGGGTATTGCCTTCATCCACATAAGCCAACATGTTGTATCACCATGTGGATATTTTAGCCAGAGAAAAGAGGTAAAAGGGAAAGTGAGGGCACACTTCTCTCTAAGGATGTGATCTAGATGCTTCATGTATCACTTCTGCTCATGTTTTATTGGCCAAACGTGGGGCATTCATCTACACAGAGTTACAAGGGCTGCTGGGAAATATAACTTTATTTATGATAACCATGTTTCCACATAAAAATTCTGTTACTAGTGAAGAAAAGAAAACAGATATTCGAGAATATTATCTTTGCTGCTTTTGCCATGTCTTGCTCATAAGAAGCTCTCTTATTACTTGGATGTTCAAATTTACTATTCTTCTCTGTTTATTCATTTTCTTCTCTTGTTTACCATTTTTCTAAAATCCAACTGCTTCTGTGAAACTTTAATTTTTATTAGCCTCATTGACTTACTCTAAGGATTCTAAAAACTTTTAGTTCTAAGTTCTATTCTCAGGTATTTTGTTGTTATTTTGTGTTTGGCAGTATTTGTGTGGTTCATTTGATACTAATTGTCTTGTGTTGCCATTAGATGTTAAAAATTACTTTTCATCTTGTCATGGGACCATGATGACAAAACAAAATCAGAGATTTAACAACATATGACATGCTTCTTAAGATGGCACTAAGACCAATTTTTGGTAGTAGGAGCTGCCTTATTATCATTTTTATGTATTGACATACACTTTTCAGAGCTGAATATTTGTTGTGCACCATTCTTTAGAGTCAATGTATTAAGCCTTATTCATGAGTCATTTATATACCATCCTTCTCACACTTTGTTAGGTAGGGATGAGTGGCAGGGCAGACAATAGGGGGCATATGGTCAAAGGCTGAGGGCTGGGACCAATAAAGACAGAAAAAAGAAACCACGACAGCAAGGACTTGAGGTTGGGGACTTTTCCTGACTAGGTGTGTGCGTAGAAGCTAGGAGCTTATGGCCAAAGGTAAGCTTTCCCTCATTAACATAGTAAAACTCACACCTCCTAGCGCCATGACAGTTCTGGAGCCAGCCATACAAGGAGAGAATGGGAGAGTACATGATTCTGGGAATCTCCACCCACTTCCCCGAAAAGACACAAATATTACTCCCCCAGCCTAACATATTATTAGGAATTAGAATAAAGGACAGACCCTAACCTGGGTGACACTGGTCTTTATTGGAGCAGTCTGCTTTTCTACTGACCTTGAGAGTGTACTACACTTTCTATACTCTGTCTTTAACCTCAAGGTCATCTTCACTCACAGGGACAGACCTGTATCTCTCTCTGAAACTAACTTTCGCTTTGCAATAAAAGCTGCTTGAATGGAAGTGCTTCGTGTCTGTCTTCAGACCGTAGCTCCAGCCCTGCTTGCGATTATTCCAATCGAGGAGCCAAAGAACCAGGATAACACCTCTCAAAAACCACACCTGACACCCTCTCACCCGAATATGTGTGTACTCTTCTTGACACATTTTCTATTATCTTATTGTAATAGAAGAACTGGGCCAAAAGCCACACTTTTTTCCACTTTCAGCACACTGCTAATCTATATACTAAAGTTACACTATTTTCCGTCAGTGCCCCCAAAAGCACTTCTAATGCTCCATACTGGCACTTTTGGTATTTGCTGTAGTACAGCCCTTGACTGATGGAAAATGCATCAGTCAGGGGCTCAACAGGAAACAGATGGCTCACACAAATAGGGTGATTAGGAAGTGTTTAATAAAGAAACTATTTACAAAGATGCAGGAAGGGTTAAGGAAAACCAACTAGGGATGTTAAGCATGTGAGGGTCAGCACAGCCTAGGCCTAAGGGGGAAAGAGAGGGATTGGTTACCAGAACCGCCAGCTAGTACCTGTAGCTAGGGGAGAGCTTCCCAACAGGACCTGTGGACTTGACTTTGGGAGAGGTACCCAGCTGGCCCGTTACAACCCTGAAGAAGAATAAAGACTCTAAGTTCATTCTCCTCCTGTCCTTTTATTTTCTGCTAGTGGCTTTCATTGGTGCACTCCAACTACAATCCTAAGGTTAGCTGGTATAGGCTTGAAAGGAGTAATAACTCCCAAGACCCAGAGCAGGGCAGAGAAGGTGAACAGTAGATCTTGAGGGGCAAATAGAAAATACCCAGCATGGAAAATATATCCATTTTTACATAGTATTTTCCAAAGTTGCCAGTTATAATTTTTTATTTTTGTGTTCTTAATATTTCAAGGATGCAGTTGACTAAATGTAATGCATTATGGTTAAGCATCTGCCTTTCCTCTCTTGTTTGTATTAAATATCATGTTGTCTGCTTTTACTTCATACCAATCTTAAGGCTTAAAGGATTCAGAGTAGAGTTTATGTTGAAAACATTTAAATAGAAATGAGTCCATTCCAATAATATCCCTTCAGACCCCTAAAATAGTAACATTATTCAACTTAACCTTTAATTGAGCAAAGCCATTCTATGAACAGCATAAATTAAGTATTGTCTGTGAGTTCACAGTATGAACAAAAATGCAGAAACATCATAGAGGACATCTCCTTTGTCCAGTATACTCTGCAATTGTGGCATTTAGTTATGTGGAGGACTTCAGCACCATATGTTTTAACAAATACTTTGGGTCATAAGGGTATGTATAATGGAAAGACATAATTAAAGTTTAATCTGTTCAGTAAAAAGGTACCATTAATTACTGTAGGCAATTTATTGGGTTATTAACTGGTTCTAGAAACATGTCAAGATACTAATTTAAATGGAATTTTTTTTCCCTAATGGTCTAGACAGCCCCTCGACCATATACTGCCCCAGGAAATATGCGGCCTCCAATTCGATTACAGCCTCTTCCCAGGAATCCTCCAGTGGGAACTGTTCCAAAGATACCTTCGGGGTCCAGATCAAAAACCTTCTTGCTGGAAGGTCAAGCTCCATTTCCGGTTGGGGTAAATGTTACTTTCTTCAAGAAATATGTTTTAAGTCTTCATTAGAATATTAGGATATCAGTTGTTAAGGTGTTATATTCAATTAATCTGCACAGTAAAATTTATATTGTGCATTTATGACGCACTTACTGTGTACTTTTTCGTTTAATTATATCTTCCTCAAATCGGAAGGGCTATAAGTTCCTGTGTCATTGAGCAAAAAAAGTAAGAAATAGATTTGTAATAACATATGGTGATTTCTCATTAATTTGAAAGGCTGATTGAAAAACAAAGACTTTTCTTAGCCAGATATGACTTCTATCAGAAAAGACCCAGTATTGACTCCTTCCAAATTTTAAATGCGTGAAACCTAGGAAATGAAACTTTCCAAGAATAGGTTTGCATTTGCATGCCGACTTACTTTCCCATCAGTGTATGAAATTGCTTCAAGTTTGACTTTTAGAAGGTTGAATATAGAAAGAAAAGAATGTCCATCTTTAAAAAATGCTGAATTAATCACACATAGGAGGTTGACTCTGCTTCCCTTTCAAGGTTATGTCTCAGGTAATTTTCACTTATTTTAATAAAGCTCAGGAAGGAGATATGGTAACCATGAAATATGAGTTACTGAGACAGGGATAAAGAATTAGGACATTCAATAATAAGGAGAGTACTGTTTGTATTTCTAACATGAAGACAAAACATTTACCAGCTTAACAAAGAACCTGTGCCATGAGTACAATTGTCATTATGTTCAAAGGGAGTGAATTATCTTCCATTTCTGATTAGGAAACACAAGACATATAAAATTAAGATATTTTTATCTTTAACTTACAGATAACCTTGATACTGAGAAATTAATTCAGACAAATAAATGATTGTGTTTCATAGTAAAAGTATAAATATAACTCTAAAAATAATAAGTAATATTTTAATCCACTTAATGTGCTTTTTCAGCTTGTGAAGCACTTTTCATAAGCCTTATATCAGTTGATTTCATGGTAGTTTCCTAGAAAACAGGAAAAATTAATCCAAAAGTGGTGGTACTTTGTCTAGGGTGGACTGTCTAGAGCTAGACAGGAACTTGTTGGGTCATATGCCAATTAGTTTGGCACTTTCTAGGATCTGGTCTTCACTTACAAGGCCCAGAGATTACCCGTTTCAGCCAGAGTACAGGAATGGACATGTCCTGAGTGGTTGTTTCAAGCTAACTTAAATAAATCACAGCAAGGTCATTTTCCCCTTAATAATAAACCAAAACAGAGAACTAAATCTTAATAAGAGGCCATTAATTCACCAAGAGATATCAAATAGTCAAAGCTTATATAAGAAGTACATTTTCCCCTCGTAGGTAGACGCACATGAGAAGCCAAATAAATCACAATGAGAATGTTGCCTAGTGATGTAATGGAATGTTGATGGCATCAGGCTAAGATGGCCTGATACACCCACTAGGAATGGGCTTGCAAAGGTACCAGAAATCTCAAAGGTCTTTGGCTAAAACCCTCTGTGTCTTCCAGGGATGCCTTTGCTATTAGGACTGCAAATATTCAAAGTCCAATGGGTAGAATTTCCTCTCCCCTAGATAGTACTCGGATGGGTACTTTCTGCGTTTGCCAAGGTGATTATATTCTTTTCTAAGTTCTTATAATTGTTAATTATACTTTGATGGATACATTTTCCTGTTAGATATATGAGCACTATCAATCAGGTAATATTCAAAATTGTGTTGGTTGGGAAGCATTTTTTTTTTTCCTTTCAGTTGATTTGCCAAATCTTCTCTGAGCCACTGGATGGTTTTACTAATTGAATCTGGACAGGGATTGTTCTTTTTCTGTTTCCAAGTTTTGGGGGTATGGATTCTTGAAGGATAGGCACTTGATGGTAGCTCACATGTGCTGACAAGATTGAAGTTGATTCCATGTTAATTTCAACTAGCTAAAACCACTTTTCATCCAGTAAATATTTATTGGAGTATGGGCTAAGTATGGGCTAGGTACTGCTCTGGGCATCAAGACAGACAAAAGTAACTTATTGGAGCATATAGTGTAATTTACATAGGCAAAATATACTGTTACTATATGTCTTTACGTATATTTTTTTCCTGGCATTGATGATGAAAGTGATTTTAATATAAAATCACATAAATGTTTTCAATTCAAATTTGAGCTACACATGCCTTTATTTAACTTGTTTTTTACTCACTTAGCAATGAGAAATATTTGGAGAATAACTTCCCTTTCTTGAAAATAACTTTTCACTAATAAGTATCTCAAAATAAAGACTTGATTGGTTGAAAATTAATTAGAGAATTAAAAAAAATATATAAATACAATTTGTATTAATATTACATAAATATAAAAACAAATAAATTGGCATAAAACAGATAAAAATGTTTAAATATTTCTTAAAGTTTGGAAAATTACCTCAGATATACAAAAATTAACAATGTATGAAAATTCAGGGACTCAAATATACTTGACAAATGTAATATAATTATTGACTATATCTTTGATGTTATTTTTTCCTATCCCCAATCTCCTGGTTTTTTTTAATAATTAAGGTAATACATGTTGATTAAACTTTCAAACAATGTGAATATATACCTTTCAAGGCAACCTCACATTTAAATTCTTTCATTTTTGTTTTTTAATCAAAATCCACATATAAATTATTTAAAAGGAATGTATGATCATGTCTCATGGACTTTTAATGTCAGGATAAATAGATCCACATCATTCATTATAAACTTAGTGAGACTCTATTATATGAACAAAGAAAAATTTAAATATATTCCTATTTATGGACTTTTAGGATGCTACATTTGTTGATGTTTTGACTAAATGTATGTGTGAATGTTATCCTTATACACATTTATATTAGTGAACTTGTGTAGTTATCTGTGTAGAATTTGTTCCTACCAGAATTTCTAAGTCAAAGAGTATATATCTTGAAATTTTGATAAATACTCCAATTTATCCTCCATAAAGGTTGTAATAATTTACTCTAATTAGTACATGAGATTACTAGCTTGTTCACAGCCTTGCCAACCTTAGCTATTCTAATACCTGGATGGGTGAAATCAGAATATGAGAAAAGTACTAACTCCTCATTGCTAAGTGAACTATTCAGCCCTGCTTGAAAGTATAACACTTCAAACTCCTTGATTTTAAATTGTTTAATTGTACTGGGTCCCCATAGATTTAATCAGTTGTTGAGGAAAAATCCCCCAAAGTACTATCAAAGTGCCGTCACTGTATGTTTGTTAAAAAATATGCTACATAAGGTTAGAAATTTATGAATATTTAATTTGCTATGGATACAACAAAGTGCCACCTTTCAACAGATTGAAGTGTTTTGAGTTTGTCTATTGATAACAGTTGTGTTTGCATGCAATGTCAATCATACAGGTTAGTCTTTAATTTTGGGTGACATTGGGTCACCACTTTTATTTCTTGGTTCTTATGTCATGAAATGTGATTACAGGGCAAGAAGGCAGCGATGAAGTTCAAAAACTCCACAGGCAATTCACAGAGAATGAATCTATATCGACTTCCAAACATTAACAGTTACATGCGACCTATTCCTCCTCCACCTCCTCCCCCAAATAGAAAATTCACGAGAGAAAATAAATCTGAAACATGGAAAAAGAGAACATTTCGTCCAACCACTGCTCCAAATGGCTTAGAACCTCTCTTTACCAAGGTGATTATGGAATAAATTTTCTTTTATTAATTTAGCACAGATTACATTGCATTATTAGATTTCTAGATTTGTAGTAAAAGAACTTAGGGAAATCACATGCAAAATGCCTTGCATAAAGAAATATAATAATTTTGTAAGTGTAATCATAAGATTGAATGAATCTGAAACCAAAGATTTGAGTAGCTCAGTTGAGTAACAAATTTATTAATAGCACAGTTAATAATAAAAGAGTCAGTGAATCTTACGGTCAAATTTAATTTGAACTACATCTGTTTCCAAATTACTTCCTTTAATTTACCTACACAATCACATGTTATCGGAAATATCTTAACATTTAATTTGTACAAATTTAGAAATGCAAATATATCTAAAAAACATAATATACTTTATTAAAGTTTATTTTTAATGTTTTATGGCAAATTTCCATGTAATACCTAGAAAAATTTTTCTTCCAATGTTCTTTGAAAATATTTTAGTTTTTTGTACTCATTTCCTCAAAATATTGAAAAAGAAAATAGTTCTAAGGTCAGTTGGATTTTATACAGATACAGGCTAGTAAGAAGTCAAAAGATTTCTTCATTTTTATTATGGAAATATACAAAAAATAGTAATTATATGTAACTTTTGTGATTACTAGCAAATAGCTGGGTCAACGTTTCACTGATTAAACATCAGGGAGTTAAGTACCAACATCTACATAGACTCTGTATGCTGGTTCTTCAAATCCAACCTCACTCTCAGGGACCTTATACACCTTGTGACTCCATCACACTCCCATTATACACCCTGTGTCCCCATCTCACTACTGACAAGTGAGGATAGCAGCTGTCCTCACTTCTAACCCCCTCAGAAGTTTGGGACCATCTTCCTCCTGCTTGCTTAAATTTCCTCCCTTCAACTCTGTTTTTACTGAATTCACTCCCTTCATTGCTGCCTTTGACAGAGGGTTCTTTCCCTCTTCCCTGAGGTCCAACCTTACCCTGTGTCTTTGATTATATACTCTTCCTCTGCTTTTGGTACCGTGCACTGTCTGTCACTCTCCTCTCCAATTTGTACTTCCAGCCTTCTTCTAATATTCATCTCTGCCTCTCAACACACGCAGTACTTAGATAGGGTAACCCAATCCTTTCCTCACATGTTGTAACCTTAGACTTCTGTTTTCTCCTTTTCTTCACTGCAGATGTTCTTTGAAAAATAGTTTACTGGAGCTTAGACTAACAAATAACCCCAGGCAACTTAGCCTGCAACAAAGCTTTGCTTCTTGCTCACATTATTGTCTGTTGTTGTTCAGCTGCAATTCTGGGACCCAGATTGTAGGAGCAGTTCAGAATGGAGGGGTCTGGGGTGTGTTAGCCTCATAGACAGCAGGACCATGGAATGCTTTTAAGGTTTGGCTCAGGAGTGTCACATGTCACTGACACTTGGATTCCATTTGGCAAAGCAAGTCTGTGACCAAGACTGATCTCAAGGAAGTAGAAAGCATCAGTTTCTCTCGGAGAGGCCCAGTGAATATTCAGAGCAACAGAATCTACCATATCCAATAACTTACTTAAATGTCTTAAACTATAAGAATGTCTAAAATCTGTATGTATAATACATGTTAACAATAATCTAGTGAGCACCCATGACTACACAACTTCTTCACGAAGTAGAACTCCACTGTGTATTTTGCAGAGCCCCTATTTCCTACCCCATCACAGCCCCTACTCCTTCCCAGAGCAACTGCTGACTTCCATGTTAAGTGTCTCCCTGCTTTTCTGGTTTTTTTTTTTTTTTTGAGACACAGTCTCACTCTGTTGCCTGGGCTAGAGTGCCGTGGTGTCAGGCTAGCTTACAGCAACCTCAGACTCCTGGGCTCAAGCAATCCTTCTGCCTCAGCCTCCTGAGTAGCTGGGACTACAGGCATGCGCCACCATGCCCGGCTAATTTTTTCTATTTTTAGTTGGCCAATTAATTTGTCTCCCTGCTTTTCTTGAGCATTCTGTCGCTTATATGCAAAAAACTTCAGTAATGAGTTCAAACCTAGTACTGTAATGAAAAGATAATAATTCCAGGAAAAAGAAAAAGCTGTAAAGAATCTTTGGGGCAGAGTCTGGGTCCGGTTTATTGACAGTTTTAAGAGCCCTTTCTGGGGAAGTCAGAAAGGCCAGGTAACAAGTAGGTCCTGGGAAACGTGGGGCTCACCAGAGTCAGGGTATCTGGTGAGGTCCTCGTGTGGACCAGACATGAGACGTCCAGCAGGAAGACGGTCAGCAGAGTGGGCCTCTGTAGCTGGGCACAGAAGAGAGAGCAGCACCTGCTTCATCCCAAGGTCATGACAAGTGAAGCACAAATAAGCCATCTGAACCGCATTCCCCAGGGATTCTGCATTCAGGTTAGAGGCACAGCATGTTGTCAGCAGGCATCCTGGCTTTGACAGACCTTGTCATGTCTGTCTCTTGAGTCACAGGGCTTCAGTCTGACTTGGTCTTTTTTTTAAAAAAAAAAAACAAAAAAACCCTCTGTTCTCTTTTTGGAATTCCTATTTTAGGCATGTTAGAACTACTAGACTGAGGCTCTAATATTCTTAGCTGTTCTCTGCTACTTTCTACTTCTTTGTCTTTTTGTTCTACTTGCTGAGAGGTTTTTTTTCAATTTTATCTTCCACACATTCTACTGAGTTTTTTCTTCTGCCATATTTCAATTCTAAGAACTCCTTTTGTGTTCACAGAATGCTACTTTTAAAAAGCATCTTATTCTTGTTCTGTATGATTTTAATTTTTTGGTATTTGTGGAGACTTGCTTTGTGGGCTAATATACGTTCAGTTTTTGGAAAGAATATAATTCTTTAAATGTTGGAATCAGGGTCTATAAATGTACAATAGATAAATTTTAATTATGTCACTCATATTTTTACATCCTCACATTTTTTTAAGTCTACATGGTCTCTTAGTTCTTGAGTTGTCACAATAATTCATTCTCTGTTAAGTAAGGATTTGCCAATTTCTCTTTGTAATTATGCCAAGTTCTGTTTTGTAAATGTGTAGGAAATCTTGTTACATGCTCTCATGATTAGAATTATTTTATCTTACTAGTGAAGTGATCCTTTATCATTAAAAAATGATCCTTTTTATCACTACTTTTTGTCTTAAAATCTATTTTTCTAGTAGTGCTTCTCCTTACTTATATTAAATTAGGATTTAACTGGTGTGTTTGTGTGTGTGTGGGGTGTATGTGTGTGTCTGTATAGTTGAACCTTAAACAACACAGGGGTTAGTGATGCCAACCCTTGCACAATTGAAAATCCACATACAGCTTTTGACTCCCCCAAAACTTAACTACCAATACCTATTCTTGACTGCAAGCCTTACCAATAACATAAACGGTAGATTAACACATATTTTGTAGGTTATATATTATATACTGTATTCTTAAAGTAAGCTAGAGGAAGAAGAGAAATTGTAAAAATTTCTAAAATATTAGTTGAAAATATTAAGAAAATCATGAAGAAGGGAAAATACATTTATAGTACAGTGCTATATTTATGATGACATAAGTTTATGTCATCTGTTTCCAAGATGAATCTTCCGTCTGAAATGGAGGGCGGCCATAGCTGCAGACCTCAATCTGCAGTACAAACCAAGCAATTCAACTTTTCCTTGTAATGTAACGACTTTTTTCTGCTTCTTGGGAGCACTTCCAGCAATACTAGTGGCACTTGGTGTGGATCTTATGATGTTATTCAAGGGTGACAATATTGCACTAAGCACAATGAAAAATATGCAAGGATCACGAAAAATCACTTTTTATTGTGATAAGCAATTTATTGGAGACATGAATTGTTTAAGCAGAGATGATTAGTGTCACATGGCATTTTAAGTGGATGCTCACAAGACTTGAGCTCACTACAATAGCAACAGGAGGTGGCTAGGAAATTATTACAATGGTATCATATATACTGTAGTTAATTTTATGCAGTTATGATTTAATACTGCATCTTTATATTTGTTAACATTTCTCTTGACTGCAAATGGTTCCATGTACAGTATGTGTTTGTATGCATAAGTTTTGATACATTTTAATTTTTTAATAATAGATTGTATATTTTTATGGTGCCAAATGATAAAATACACTAGTGTCTACATATATTTTCTACATACATGATATACCTAACTTTCTCTTGATTTTTTGATATTTATAGGCTATGAAGTTTGTGAGTTTTTTCAAATTGTTCCAGATTTCCAAAAAATTTTCAATATATTTATTGAAAAACTCTGAATATAAGTGGACCCACACAGTTCAAACCCATGTTGTTCAAGTGTCAACTCTGTGTATACACATTTGTGTGTGTGTGTGTGTGTGTGTGTGTGTGTGTTCCTTTTACTTTCAGCCTTTTGGTGTCTTTAGGTTTAAACTTTAGGGTTTAAATGTGTTTATGCAGCATGTGGGTAATTTGTGTTAAATTCAATCTGAGAATCTGTTCCATTAATAAGTTTAGTTTTTTCAATTACATTTATTTTACATAGTAGTATATTAGACTTACTTCTACCATCTTAGTTTGCATTTACTATTTATCATGATTTTTCTTTGATAGCAGTATTGTATGATATTAATTGCCTCTTCCTTACAACTTTCCTCTCTTGCCTTCCATGACATTCTACTGTTATGGTTCTTTGCTACTCCCTTTACCACTTGTCTTACCTCTTTGTAACTCTTCTTTGTCTTCACCCCTAAATCTAGCCTTTGCCAAAGGTGTCAGCCTTGACACTTGATTTTGTATTCAAGATGTAGTCATCTTCTCACATGCTTTTGACAGTTTGCTAGATGTCTCTTGGATTTGACTCTAGCCCTGTGTCCTTTGGTATAGGGTAAAATCAGCTCAGTGGGGAGAGTCATGCACTTTTACATTAGTACTTGAATTTATTTTATTTAGATATAAAAAAGATTCATTGAAGGGGAGATGGCTCTTGTGACTAACTTACACATTAAATTCGCTCTTTCATTTTATGACTACTGCCCACCAAAGTATCCTTCAAAGGCTCTTAAAAGGAAGAAGAGAAAGAGGTAAAAGGCAGTGAAGTAGGGCTTGCTGGTAGCCCATCATCTGTTCCTCTATGAATGTGTCGAACAACATGGTCCCTGGCTTCTGTGATTTGTGTCTCTGAGGATGATCAGTGGAGCCAAATAACAAGGTGACAGGATTCCCAGTCAGCTCTGGACCCTGTTGCTTTGTCCTGTTTTGTTCCACATCTTCAGAGCTTTATGCTGCATTTACAGAATCTTTGAGATTAGTTAGATTCTGCACTGAAGTTTACCTTACCCACCTCCAGACTTTAATGTTCCCACTCAGGATTGAGAGACCTTGATCTTACTAGTCACCTACACTGCACAGAAGCCTACTGAAAATGTGGGTAGTCCCTTAAATAGCTTCTATAAATGTGAAAATACAGGCTTTCAAATAAGATCCTGCTGAATGGTTATGTTTATTCAAAATAACAAAGTTTGTTTTTATTTCTTATATGTGTTTTAAAAGAGAGGGCAAAAAGCTTCTCCAACTATGATGATAATCTAGGGCTTTCGTGACATCCCATCAAAGCCCCATATCCACCTCTTAGACTCCAAATGAGCCTGGTGCAATTTCAGATGCCTGACTGAAAGGCAGTATCAACCATGTCTCCACTTTGACGTGGTTACAACTTAAGCCAGCTTCTCCATACAATTGCCTTATTTCTTTTAAAGCACCAGTAATTTGGTCTCAGAATCTAGAATTTCTTCTTCCCTCTGCATCACACATCTGGTTAATTGCTAAGCCCTCTAGATCAGAGATATCCAGTATAAATAGAAGGCAAGCTACATGTGTGATTTTTTAAATTTTTTAATAGTTACATTAAAAAGGTAAAGAGAAACATACAAAACAAATTTAATAATATATTCTATTTAATTAATTATATCCAACATATCATTTGTACATATAATCAATATGAAAAATTTCAGTGAGGTATTGAATATTTTTTTACTATGTCTTTGAAATTCAGTATTTTGTATTTACAACACATCTCATTTGAATGAGCCACCTTTCAAATGCCCAACAGCCAACTGGAGCAAATGGCTGCTGTCTTGGAGAGCACAGCTCTAGATTCCACCTCGACAATGGCTCATGTACCTGAATATCCTTTTCCATTTTCACTGCTACATCTCTAGTTCAAGGGCTTGCTAACTAACTCTTAATGGGACTATTGCAATCATCTTTATACTTATGTCCTGCCTCTAAATGAACAAATAGCTCATTGTAGCTTTTATTGATTATGACAATAATCAGCTAGGTGCTGGGGTTACCAAGATGGGTAAAAGTAAATCCTTGTTCTCTGAAATATTTCAGTTTAGCAAGGGAGACAGAAATATATGCAATTAACCATGATACATTGTGATGAGTACTATCATTGTGATCTAAATAAAGCACAATGGGAACACAGAGGAAAGAAATACTAGTTCTGACTGAGGAGATTAGAGAATGCCTCAGAGAGAAAGTGGCATTTGAAATGGGCTTTGAACAACGAGTAGGAAGTTAGCAGATAGAAACAGGGAGCTGAGGGCGAAAAGCAAGAAGGGGAAAAAAGAGTAAGCAAAATCATCTCAGTTTTGGGAGATTCTCACAATGATACTAAATTAAACTTTGTAGAAAAGCTCCCAACATGCTCCCCCACTGCTTAACACATTCACTGGCTGCCCCTTTCCTAATAAAATCAGGTATATTCTTCTGCCTGGCTATTTAAAAATGTGGGATTTATTATTATTCAACATTAGTCAACATGGGGACTGCTGCTCTTTATGGTCAATCTGGCTTTTATATCAACCTTTATCCACCAGGGAAGCATCTATATCAACCTTTATCAAAGAATAATCACCAAAGTTGCTGTTTAATTTAATAGGACACTGTGAATCAGTTTTTATTGAGTTTCTATAAATGTAGAAAGGGTCCACTTTAGGGTGGGGCCAACCTACTGTACGTTCTGTCTCAGCAAAGAACAAAATGTAGAATGCCTCATTGTTCCATGTCTGTGTCCAGTCAGATCAATGTGTTTTAGGTCCTTACTAGGTGTCAGCACTGCTAAGACTCCTGGGGGCATAAAGATCAGTAGACACCACCCTTATCTACTGGGAGAGAGGAATGTACTCTGATACCCAGGGCAGGAGATATTTTGAGCAATATCAGACTAAAAGTGGGGAGACTAATTAGTAGGGTGACTATACATCCCAGTTTTCCTGAAACAGTTCAAATTTCTGCTCTTTTTTTCCCTCTACAATAATTACTAGTACCATTTCTTTCTCTATTTGTCCCGGTTTGGAAGCGAAATTCTATGGTCACCCTACTATTGCAGGGGTCCAGGTAGGACTTTATGATGTCCAGAATTCACTGGGGCTTAAGTGGAAGGAGAGGAGTTGCTGCCCAACACTTCAACAAGAGTAGGCACATTGATGCCTCTACTGCCTCTTAAACTTACTCCTCACACAGGCCTGGGAAGGGATAAAAGAAATCCCAGTGAAAACTTGGTATATCATTGGAATGCTAAATATTGCAAATTTATATTGGGTGACTGGTTAACCACTCAATGGGCTTGCTGTTTGTCAGCTGAGATTGTTCTTGCCTGAGAAATATGAAAAGAAATAAGAAGGAAAGTCAGAAAGATAAGCCTTAATTGTAAGGGGTATGAGGACTTGCTCTTGTTCTTGAAATGGAACTGACTTTTCATGGAAGGTTTTTATACTTGCTCAAGGGCAGCAGAAAGGGCTGTGAAACCCTGTTAAAGTTTCATCTGTCCGAGGTCATTATAACCTCGTAAGATGATAAGTATAGAGGCAATTTGGTCAACTGAAAGAAACAATTGTTTGGTTCCTAGTGCATGTATTTAATAACGAGCTGTCACGTGGGCCTCCTGTCAGAACCCAGAAAAGTTTACTTGGTGACAATAATTGGGGAATATTTTTTAAAAATAACTAAACTCAAGAGGAAAGAAATGTCACTATCAGAAATATGCTTTAGCAGAAAAAAATATGAATAAGAGGAAATGAAAAGGGTGAAGGGCTGCCATTGCCTTTATTTTACTTTTTAAAGTTTCTCCCTCTAGTTTCTCATTTCCTACATATGATGCAGGTCTTTCTCCCACTCTAATCCCACTATTACCTTGTATTTATATAGTGCTTATCTCCTGGAAGCTCACAGGCCTATCTAAATCCATGCCACTTTAGAAAGTATTGCTTAACAAAAAGGAGATGCTTTTATTTAATCAATCACTTGATTAAATGTGCTAGCTGCAGCTTGGAGCTGGATTTGCTGTAGGTCTGCTGATTGTGCAGTGGGCTGTACACGTGCGTGTCACAGCTCCACAGTTGCTCAGGCAAGAGGAAACATGAGATTATGATTTTGCAAGTAGGAGCTAGGCCTGCCATCATCCTTTTGCTTCAACTTTGATTCAGGGAGATGTTTCTAACCTGCAAAGAATTATCCAGTGTGCTGATTTACCTCTGCAGCTCTCGATGCCCCTAAAATATGTCTGTTGATTATCTCTTTATTTGGGAGCTCTTATTTCCAATAGGCAGGGCAATTTGCTTGAATTTTAACTCTTGGATTTTCTCCCCTATTTATACTTTTCAAACTTGTTTGCAGAATTTCATTTCATCAGATTTTTTTCCTGTTTCTTGTTTCAGAACAATAGAATTGGATTTAAAAAATCCTGTGAGGTGGAAGGGGATGGTTTTAGGCATGGAAATATGTTAGTAGCTCCTTCAAAAAATTTTGTTGCAGCTTTGTTATTCTTAAAAAAATGCATGCTCCTCATGCATCCATAATTGATGAAATCAAACTCAAATAACTACCTTGGATCCTCTGAAAGTCAGTCTTTCCATATTTTTCTTTTTGATAAAAATTGATTTTTAGAAAAGTGAAGTAGATGAGAAGCAAAGCCTGGCCTCTTAATTCTAAAGGTCTGCAATGTTCTCACGAAGCCTTCTTAATGTCTCTTGACCCTCTCAGCCTTTCCTATTTCTCTGCCTCTTGCCTCTTCCCTCTGCCTCCTTCTCCATTTCCTGCTTCCTCCTCCCCTTAGATGTTAGACTAACACTATACTCATTCACTATTATGAAAACACTTCAGACTATCAATTAGGAAGCAATGCCTGAGACATTTCTTTTACTTTTTGGCATATAAATTTATTGCATATTTTATAAATAATTTAAATTGGGAAATACCATAGAATATCAGATAGGCTTATCAGGTAATTTTTAAGACTTTTTTGAGCATATTGTTTTGATATTAAAAACAATATTAGCAATATTATTTTCTTCTCATTGAACTGAATGCCTTATGTGAATCTGGATAATCCCAGACTCATAACATACATGATCGCTAATCCTCAGAGTGGCCGTAGAAGGAATCCAATGTGTGTATCTTCCTCTCAGATGGAATAAGCCCAGGGAAGGCTATGTTGTCGGTGTTCACTTGCAGGATAAAGCATTTGATTACAAAATCTATTGCTAAATCATAATCAGTGTCAATTCAAATTAGAACCAAATGGTGTCACCAATATTTATTTAATTCGTTTGTTTGAATTTTTATTTGAGAACCAGCTAAAAGAAACAAAACCAGTTTCCTCTTAGCATCATTGACATCTTATGTATGTAACACATACACACTTAAAATAAAAAAGACACACTCTGTTTGAATACCTACTATTTACATCAAAAATACAAAGCCAAAATTTATACGTTATAGTTATTTAGAAGGATTTATTTTGTAATGGGCTTCACTTTTTTTGCAGTGTGTAAATTGCCACTTTATAAAGGTTTTGTTGGTAGGTACATAAAAGTAGCCGTTTTAATTCTTTATATTATAATGTCATGTGAGAATGAGAACTTTGATTAGAAAGTAATTAGTTAATAAACCTCATTTTTTTGTTTATTTTAGGATACAAGATGTATTTATAAAACATCGCCGCATAGTAATGCGGCTATTACAATGATCTATTTGGGGAAAAATGTACACCTATCTTATGATAACCCAGACTTCCGAGATGAAATAAGAGTTTATCAACAGCACTGTGGTGGGGAAAATCTTTGTGTCTACCAAGGCAAACTACTTGAGAAAGGTACACATAAAACGTTAATTTGTTTTAATTGCTTGGAGTTGATGCTATAGATAAGCTGTTGTTGATATAATATCAAAATGACTTCAATCACTTTATGAAATTATGCATATCCAGGGACTTATAAACCAGCTGCCTAAAAGTAAATCTAAATTTACTGCTCTGTGATTGAAACTGAAATAGCAATTACTCTTGCAGATTGTGGAAGAAAGGATTTGGAGTGATTTAACCTGGTAACAGATTAATTTTGGGATAAAGATATATGATCATTAAAATGTTGCATGAATAAGCTGTCCCCCAAATTACAAGTTAACTATTTGGCTTGCCATAGTGAATTATATTGTGCGTTACTCTAAGAGAAAAATATCAGATTGGCAATTTGTTCTTTAGAGGTATGTGGAGATAAAAATCACAAATCCAATAAACTTCAGGGTGAATCACACCTAAATAACTTGGTGCAGAATTTAGCTAAATAAATTTTTAGTACATTTCTGCTTTCATTTGATTGTAAATCCATGTTTGTCAGCATAAGATAATTCTTATATCCAGTATATGTTTTTACAAATTATACTGTAGTGTATTTATTCAACATTTAGTTCAGAGGAACAGCAATAAAAAGAGAGTGTTTATAGAATTATATTTGTTACTTCCTTGCTTTAGAAACTGTGTTTAGAAAGTAATATTATTGTTACTAATTAAAAGAAATATTTATTTTTGGGTAGTTTTAAAATAGACTTAAGAATTAAGGGAATTGCTGGGAGCAAACATGGAATTTTTACTTTTGGTCTTTCTGATTTCCCCCATCAATCAAAAACAGTGAGTATTGATTTAAAAAATTTCAAGTCCTTAAAGAGAAACTGTAACTACATATATAGGAATTACATATTTAAAACTTCCTGACATAACAAAGAGTAAACACTTGAATGTTAGTTTTAACTTAAAACACAATATGATGCTCAGTCATGCTAGAAATTATTTTTCCCATTTTTAGATATTTGGTGGAAATGTAATTTACTTTGTCTTATTTTGTCCTAGCACTCCAGAGTTTGTGCCTTCCATGTTGTAGATGAGGAAGGTGAGATGAATTCATAGTGAGAACAGCTCCCCAAGGTCACACTCTGGGCAGCGTTAAGAGCAGACCTTGGTCCCTGCCGGGGTGCAAGGCCCTGCTAAGTTCTGTGCAGCCTCATTAGTTATATTCTCAGTAGCAGTTTCCTACATTTTCATAATATGACTGTGAAATCCTAATAATAGTGGCATAGATACGTAGTCTTATTTTTTTAAAGGTATAACTTTCAGCTATTAATTTAGGAGAATGGCAAAATTAGCTAAGGCTAAAATCGGAATTGACATAATGAAAATTGCCCTGGATCTTAGATCACACTTCATTCAACAAAATGCATATATAATGTCTATTTGACTACCGGAAAAAAAGAAATGAAGCTTAGCTGCATGATTCTCTGGTAGGCAGAATATCACAGAATATACATTCTGTGATGAGAGTGTAAAACCAAAGGTTGTGGGAGAAAGGGTGTTACCTGGCTCTGTGTTTATTTTGCATACATGTTGGTGCTAGAACCTTTAATTATGGCATTGGACAGTCTTGATTAATAGGATGGAGTGGGGACTTAAATAATTGAATCCTGTCCTCGTGATAATTTTGTCTCAGCTTACCCTTGATCGCCAAGAACGTAATTGTTCAAAATTGAAAAGTTGGGTGACTCAGAGTTGACTTGTGGTTCAGCAATCTTAGTAGTTTAGTTGAACTGAAAAGAATCTGCCCTTTCTACAAATCAAAGCTGTGCATGATTCAGTGAAATGTGAATAGGTTTTTAGAAGATTTCTATTAAAAGAAAAAAAGCTGGCATTTAATATTATTCTTGGAGCAGTAAACTCATTAAAATGTGGCATTTGTTAATTTATCTTGCCTCTTCACTTGAAATAATAATGAAATTAATTATTTAGAAATGTGGCAAGTGGATCATTTATTCTCATAGTAAATCGTGATGTCTGTAGCTTGATTTTAGACTTCAAGCTATGAGTTGATTGTTTATTACATGTACCTGTGAAGTCACTAAATATTTCCTGCTACTTGTAAAGGGTACAGTTTCTTCACAGGCATTTTTATTTGCCATGTTTATCCTATCAAACAAGACAAACCTTGGCCTCTTGGGTTCATGTGGATGCCAATAATGAAGTAACACTCTTTTTCTGGCCCTCTTTTAATTTCTTATTTTTCTGCCCCATTTTCTAGTATTTTCATAGCCTGATCCTGTTGTACCTGTTTGCATTCCTCATGGCTCCCCAAACACAGCTTTTTGTGGTGTCCCATTCATGCTGTTGTCATGCCTTTGGTTGTTCTAGTTCCTTTGTCTGGAATATTCTTTCTTTCCTCTTTTTAAAATTCAAATCTTGCCTATCTTTTAGGATTCAGATTAAAGCTATACAGCTGGCTCAGCTGACTTACACTCTGGTTTATCCCGATGGACCATGGCTCTCGGTCTACACTCAAAACCGAAGCATTTCATTGTACTCTGACCTATATTAACTTTTTTTTTTTTACTTTTATTTATTATACAAATATATATGTAGTTTTTAAAAAAGCTTCATTGAAGTACAAATTAAATACCATAAAACTTATCTAGTGTAAGTGCAAAATTCGATGACTTCTAGGAAGTATGCAGAGTTGTGCAGCCATTATCACAAACTAATTTGAGAACATCTTCATCTTCTTGAAAAGTTTCCTTGTGCCCATTGGCAGTTAGTTCCTACTCTCATTGTCAGCTCCAGGCAACCACTGATCTGCTTCACTAACTCTACAAATTTCCTATTCTGGATATTTCATATAAATTAAGTCATACAGTGGTAGTGTTTTGTCTTGCTTCTTTCACTTAGCATGATGTTTTTGAAAGTCATGCATTTGTATTGTCCATCAATAATTGCTCTCTCCTTAGATTGCTGAATATATCCCATGAAATGGATATATTCAACACATATTCTTAAAATTCATTCCCCAGCTGGTGAACATTTGTATTATTTCCAGTGTGGGACTATTAAAAACAATGCTGTTATCAACATACGAATACCAGTTTTTGTGTAGACATATGTTGTCATTTCTCTTGATTAAATTCCTAGGAATAATTTTGATTCTTTTTTTCCTAAGTGGGTCACACTTTCCTGATTCTTTATATGTCTTTAGGGTTTTTATTGAAAATTTGATATTTTATGTAGGGTATTAAAGCTGCCAAAACTACTATGAATTCTGGATTCTGACTTTTCCCTATGAAAGGTTGTTGTTGCTGTTTTTTTAAAAATTTTTTTGTAACTTATCTGGACTAAATCTGTGAAATTGAGTCCCCATCACCCTGGTGTACAGTCAATAATTTTTGGCACAAATTTTAAAGAAAATTTTAGTTTTTTAGTCTGGTCTCTTAAGGTTGTTTCTGTGCCTTCATAGTTTAGTAATCACCCAGTGGTTTGTCAGAGGCTGGGTTCAAACACCTTGAGCCAGTAAAGCCTCCATTTACTACCAATGTATCTGTTTGGGGGCATATTAGTTTCCTGGGGCTAACATAACCAATGTCCCCAAATTATGGCTTAAAACAACAGAAATTCCTTCTCTCCAGATTTGGAGGCCAGAGGTTTATAATCCAGATGTTGGTCCCTACCAACACTCCCTGAAAAGCTGTTAGGAGAGAAGCCTTTTTTAACTCTTTCAACTTCTGGTGGCTCCTGATAATCCTTGGCATTCCCTGGCTTGTAGCTCCATCATTCCAATCTCTGCTTCTGCCTTCACATAGCATTCTTCTTCAGGTATCTCTGTGTGTCTCCTCTCATCTTTTTATAAGAACATGGGTCATTGGATTTAGGGCAAAACTTAAATCCAGGATGATCTCGCTTTATCATTCATTAATTGTATCTGTAAAGACACTATTTACAATAAAGTCACATTCTGAGGTTCTGGGTGGTCCTGAATTTCTGGAGGACATGATTCAACCCACTAGAGTGAGTTGAGTACATTCCAAGTTCAGTTTTCAAGTCTGCTCCAACTTTTATAAATATTTTCTACCAGGCTCTCTTATGTTTTTTCCATGCATAGGTGAAAGTTCATAGTGGGCTGGAGATGTAGGAATAGGCTTCCAGTTAGCTGGGGATATGTAGACAGCTTACTGAATGCCTCTATGACTGCCTTATTGCTTATATCTCCCTATTTAATTTCTGGTTAGTCCACTGGCCTGTTGCTTGCCTTAATGAGAACTATAGTCTCAGACTAGTAGAACTTCTGACCTTTCCTCTTAGCTTGCTCCAAGATTGCTACTTATTACTGGTAATGCCACAGGCCCAGAGTTTTTCATCTTCTGCTCCAAAGCACATCAGCCCCCACTGACAATGAGGCTGCTGGTAATTTATGGCCTGCCCTACCCTATTAGAACTGCTGTGAGGAGGTAGTGGCAGGTGGAGGGGGGTGAGAGTAGTCCCAGGCAAGAATGTCACAGATTCCTACTGTTTACCTAAAATTCAATCATTTTTTCATAATAAGTGCTGCTCAGTTTGTGTTAAGTCTTTGTTCCATTTCTAGAGATAACATTTTAAGGGGACAGGATTTGATGACCTTACTCCAGAAGTCTGGTATATTAATTTTGCCTCTCCTGCTCAATTATAACTTCTTGAGACAGGATACCAAATTTGATATTTTTCAGTATTTTTGTTTCTATTTAGTGGCTAAAATAGTGCTGCTGACCATCAGTGAACAATAAATAACTACATTGTACAAGCATTATAAAATGCCTTCTAATTTGTACATTATGTAATCTTTAAGACTGCCCTGTGAATTTAGTAGACTAGGACACAGTCTCCTACCCCCATCTCCATCTTATAGATGAGAATTCTGAAATGCAACAAAGTTAAATATCTCAGCAAGGGACACTCAGCTGGGTTATGGAACAAAGTCTTCTGATTTCTTATTTTTTCCTTCCCACTACTCCATGAAGAAACCATCTAGTCAAGGTTGGGAGGTGTCAGTATATTTAAAAAAATACAAAATTATAAAATACTTATCAAAGGAGTAAAAGCAGAGGTTGTCAATTCTTGTTCCATAGCCTAAAAAAAAAAAGAACAAAATAGAGTAATAGCTGGGTGTGCTTTCCAGCTACATGGGCATCAAATGGAAGGGTAGTCACATGTAGAAGTTGATTTCCTGTGCCCAATCTCGGCATTTCCTTGACTGCACTCTCTTTCTGGACTGGTACTTAGGGAGTTATGGGGCGTGATACTGCAGCAGAATGGATCACATTACATGGATGCAGGATTCAAGTTTCTGTAATGAAAGCAGTTAGACTTGCCTTCTAGTCACCACTTGAGGAGTTCATTCATCATTAAGACAAGTGGACTTGTATCGTACTTTCCCCAGACACCAAGTTTTTCAGTTTTCTCTTTCCTAGTTTGTTTACTTTCATATCACAAATACTGAGGTATAAATGATAGAATAATCTTTTTAATAACTCTTTTCTTTAGAATAAATTGCATCCAATTTAGAAATACTTTTGGGGGCAAAATATGGTATATATACAGTGTTTCTGTATGACTGTGAAAGAAAGAGTTTATAGTAATAATTCACTAATTATTTGAGGGAAGCTTTCTGTGCCATTGCCCCTGGACCTGGGGAAACTAAATAAGACTAGCTTCAGCCCTCACAGATTTCACAAATATGCAGGGCAGCAAACATCTAGAGGGTTCTCAAAGCACGGGACCCTATACCAATAGCATCAACATCATCTGGCAACTTGTTAAAAATGCAAATTCCTGGGCCCTACCCCAGACCCACTGAATCAGAAATTCGGGGGTAAGGCCCAGCAATCTGTGTTTTAATAAGCCCTCCAGGTGATGCTGATGCACATTAAAGTTTGAAAACCACTGGTGTAGCTATATTCTAATACAACATGGTAAGTGCAACAATAGAAAATGTGTACATAGCAGAGAGGAAAAATTGTTGACTCTATTATTGTTAGAAGTGGAACAGTCCAATGAAGCTCCTTTCTTTTTTTCTTTTTTGTAGAAAGTGACATAAGAAATGTTCATAAGAAGCAGGATTTTGAGTCACTCTGTAGGGAATAGGATTTATGGTTTAGAACCTCTAGAGTGGGACCTTTTCAAAGAGCATTATAAAAACTTGGAATGATTATAGGTTATTAATTTTAGGCAGTGGTTCTTAATTTATTGGTGGGACTTTTGGGTGGGTGGGGCAGAAAGAAGGGAATCTCAAATCTAAACTGAATTGAGTATGGCTTGGAGATGAATAATTGCTTCATTCACATGTGTATTAGTATATTTAAAGTCACAACTAAAAATACAAAAATTTTTAAAAAGCATTACTTAGCTCACATTAGCCTTTTGTCATCAAGTACTTTATTAACACATAGCATAACAAGATAGAGACATGAAATTTAGAGAGATGTTTGGATTCAAATTCTAACTCCCCCACTTACTGTATAATCTTGGGTAAATTGCTAAACTCCTCTAAGCCTTCGTTTCCTCACCTAGAGACTAGTGATAGAAATATTCTCACTTCATGTGATTGTTGAAAAACAACATATCGAAGATAATCAGGCATAATGCCTGGTCATACTAAGTGCTCATATAATATTAAATATTATTATTTTATTACAAATCAAAGAGTTTTATAAAGACTTGGAGTATTTATTACAAATAAAAGTAGTAGAATACAGTTTTATGATTAAAAATTGTCCTTAAATTAAAAGATGATCTAGATCATAATATTGTACTTATCTAATAGAAAAATGTAACTTTGAATATGTTAGTTGATTCCACTAATATATTTCTTTTTCCATTCCAGAGACCTTTCAGTTTATTTCCAAGAGGCACCATGGTTTCCCCTTCAGTCTCACCTTTTTCCTTAATGGGATGCAGGTGAATAGGTTAAGCTCCTGCTGTGAATACAAGCACCGAAAAGGTTCCAGACTTGGAGGCAAACGAGGATACTTTGGATTTGTGTGTGTTGAGAAATCATCTCCTTGCTACAAGTAAGGAAACAAATGTCCTTTGGTAGAGGGCAAATTTTGCTACATTTTTCTTCTAATGCTTTACTAATGCATTTGTCTGCACAATTTGTTAAGATAAATCAATATAGCTGAGCCTAAAATATGTAAGTTAAGGGTTGTTTATTACAACCCTGAGAGTTGTATTTGAAATGATAAGATACAAATCAGATTTCCAGATGTACTATATAACAGATAAAAGCTGGTGGCATTTTAAATTATTCTACTTTCTATCTGTCCCTTTCCTCATACTGCTTTAAATTCTATTTCTGAAGGGAAGGAGAGAAGGGTTTTTTTTGTTTTCTTGTTCTTTTGTATTCCTCTGAGGAACTGGTTTAGGGGTAAACCCTGAAGCATGTGCCAAGCATCTGACTCACATGGTTGAATATAACAGGTTATGCATATTAGAGGTGTGCCTGCATGATGGTGTGGCCCAGTTTTAATTCTCATCCCCCTGGTTTCAATCTCCTGTATAACAAAATGCATGATAAAAGGTCAGTTTTTGCTGTTATCAGCTTGCATATTGGATGTTCGGTTTGAAATTAGAAGTCTTGCTTGTGGGCTTTCTTTCATTTTTTCTGAAAGTTCTCGTACACAGTTGTCTAGATGACAAGCTGGAACACAGGAGTGAACCAACTAAAGTACATGTCTCCATGGAACTGTTCTAATGGGGGAAGGGCAAATAACATATCAATAAACCAGTTAATATATGTCAGATAGTGAGCATGATGAACACAAAACAGGGTCAGGGAGTGAGGGGGAATGAGGGTCATAAGGGTGTGCGTTATATATGTAGGATGGTCAGCAAGGGCCTCTCTGATGGAATGTCTTTGAGTAGAAATCAGGAAAAAGAAACTCTCTTCCTCCAAATAGCTTTTCAGGTAGAGGAAAAGCATATAGAGAGGGCAGCAGGCAGGAACATGCTTGGTGTGTCTCAGCTAGTGTATGGTCAGAGCAAAAGTAAGGAATAGAACAATGAGGTAGGGGATGAGGTCAGGGAGACAAGGATGCCAAGTCATGTGGAGTCTGAAGAGCACTGCAAGGACTTTAATTTTATTCTGAGAAGGATGGGAAGCCTCTAAGGTAGGTTTAAACAATGACCTGTCATTATTTGACAGTAACTCCTATGGGAAAGGTAAACTAGAGAGATGGGAGAAAGAGTGGAAACTGCTTTCATCCAGAGAAGAGATAATGGTGAAATGAGTTAGAAGTGATTAGGTTCTAGATACATTTTGAAAATAGAGTTCACAGGATTTACTGATGGATTGGATGCAGGGCATGAGATAATGAGCAGAGCCACAGACGATTCAAAATTTGTGGCCTGAACAACTGGAAAAATGTCCAGTTAACATGTACCTAAAATGGGACTATAGAAGAGGCAGTTTTAGGAGTAGAATAAAGGGGTTTTGGTTTTGGAGCCATTAAGTTTGAGACATTTATGAGACATGCAAGTAGAGATGTCAAGTGGGCAGTTGGATATAAGAATATGGGGTCAGTTGAGAGGTACAGGCTGGAGACATAAATTTGAGAATATTTGGCATATAAATGGCATTTAAAGCATAGGATGGGGTAAGATTGATTAAGAATTGAATGCAGATAGAGAAGATCTATCTGAGTAATGAGCTCCATGTCACTCTAGTTCAGAGGCAAGGGAGATAAAGGGGAGCCAGCATGAGAAGGAAAACCAGTGATTAGAGGGAGAACCTAGAGAGAGTAGAAATGAATAAAACCTTGGAAATGAATAAAATCTTTGAAGAATAAGGTGAACATATGGATATGTTAAGTTAAATGAAGACTGACACTTGAACATTGATTTGATAGTGCGTTGGTTATTGGTGATCTTGGTCCAAGTTATTAGAGTGGAGCAGTAGGGAAGTGAGCTTTATTAGAGGGAGTTTAAGAGGTAATTGGAGAAGAACTAAGGCCAGAGACTACAGACAACTTTTAAAAATCATTTTGTTACAAAAATTTGTAATTGGATGGTAGTCAGGAGGGAGAATATAGGGACCCATAGGACTTTTTATTTTTTAAGATGGGTGATGTTATCTTTGTATGCTAATAGGTAGGATTGATATCCTAGAGAAGAAAAAAAAAAACTGATGAAGGATAGTATACAGGGGGAAAGTGCTTTAGTAGACTGAAGAAGATGGGATCCAGGGCTCAGGTGGGGGTGTAAGCCTTAGGAAGGGGAGAAGTGTTTCTTCCATAGTAACGGGAGGAAAGAGGGCATACAAGCTAGAGAGAGAGGTAAGTTGGTTGGATGTGCTGGGACCAACTAGCAGTTCTCTGCTGATTGCTTCTGTTTTCTCCAACAAGAAATAAATTTATCAGCAGAGGTTAAGACTGAGGAAGGAGGGTTTGGAGGTTTTAGGAGAGAGTGGGAGAGTGAATGGCCCAAGGCAGTGTAGTACCAATGCCCCGCTGTACTTAGGTTCCACCTGGACTGCCTTCCAGGTCCAATCCAAACATGCTATCTGCTTGTTTTTGGTTAGGTCATTTAACTCATTTTTGCTGCAGATCAGGTAAGAGTCAAGTCAGCATGGTTTAAATAGGATGGGGGTAGAAGGGTAAGTGCTGGAGCCTTGCTTGTCTGGCCTCGTCCCCACCTGAGGCTGCTTTGGCTATTCCAGAGTCACTGATGCTGCAGAAATCCAGTGAGAGTTGAGAACTACCTTCGTGGAGACTGTTAGCACTTCTATTGCATAGCCTTTTTTTTGTTACATCCATAATGATACTTTTGGTTATTTTAAGGAATATATGTTAATTCCTCCAGTTTATTAAAAGTGAAATTAGTTTTAATTCATTTAAAAAATACTGGTCCCTGGAACTTTTACAATGAAAAGAAGGAGAGGGTGGTAAAATAAAACAATAGGAAGTTCTATACCTAAAAATAATTAGGAATTACCTGCTTAAGATCCTTGGAAAACAAGAAAAGCTGAGCAGTGGTCACTTCCAAAGTGTGAAGTTCTACAGTTGTACTCACCCATCAATCACGGGAACTGTTTGAAGAAGCATAGTGGTTATTTTTAATAGCTAGAGTGAAACACAGGAAGAAGCCTTGCCTAACCAAATAGAATGCAGCCTGCTTTGAGCTTTAGTCATCAGAATCAACACCTCAAATTATATTCAGAAGTCAAATAGGCAGTGACGGGGAGAGCACAGATGTTATTCACTTTCTTTGTCCAATTCTCCTCAGCAGATGGACAGTAAAACGTCTGCACATGCAGTAGGGAGGCATCGAAACCTTTACGTAGCCACAACATAAACTAAAAGTAACGGCATATCAGGGGTTCCAAATCAATGCATTTGGTGTTGCCATTGATAAGGGAATAGCAGCTTGAACAGAAGGCACTGCTCGTCATCTCATTCTGCGAAGATTCATGACACCTTTATTTCAAGGAGAGCAATGTGCTAAGCACATCATCATTACAGTCAGGAAATATTTATTTGGCTTAATATGGGCAAGATAAGTATATTATTATTATCTCACATTTTACAGCCTGATAGTTACTTTGATTGCAAATCCTGTTATCTTCATTTTATGACGAGATATTGAAAAGTTAAGTGATATAACTCCGTTCTCATATTTGCTTGTTGGAAGAATTTATTAAGATCAATTCCTATGCTATTTCTAGGCTGGAGATGGCTCAAATTCAGTGAAATCTTAAGTTTAAGAAATTGTCATTGGATTTGATTCAGAGTTTATATATTATTCCCATTCTTCCTGGACTGACAGGTCTTGACTGCATTCTGATCCCTTTTCACTCACCCAGTACAAATCACTCAGTTCTCCTACAGTGGTATAGCCTGCAGAGCAGGGGCATAGCAGTGTAGGGAAGGAGGAAGGTGGAGACTGATAACTTCCAGATACTTTGGGTCATGGATCATCTCCAGGCCTTGCTGGAAACTTTTCCAGATTGCGTTAGTTTCTGGTGAAAGAGCGTGAGTATTTTCTCTGGTAGTAAACCCAAGAGTGTAACATTTGTCTGTGTAACTAGTCATTTTTGCAGGTTATATCATAACTAGTAATTATAGGGCTACACTTGGAATACTAAAATATGGTTGAGCTTCAGTGTGAGGTGATGTTGAGCTGAGGTCAAGCCCTATCACTAATCTGCTGGGTGACCTTGGGCTGCTGGAACCTTTTAAGCCTCAGTTTCCTCATTTGTAAAGTGGTGATGATAGTTCTTAATTTATTGATCTGTGAGGTAATGAATTCCTTCAGACAATGGATATAGAGTACCCAGCGAAGAGCTTGGCATAAGGGAATGCTTAATAATCTTATCATTATCATGATCAGCAGTGTTATTAATGTATATATTACCATTATTGGAATTCTTATTTTGATGCTAACTTGAGAGATAGAAAAAAAGGTATAGAAGATAATTTGTTCACATTACTTTTATTATAATTGATTTAAAAATTTTTTAATGTCATAATGCATTCAGATTATGTGCATAGTTCACCAGATTTGACTTGGAATGACTTTGTAACCTCTGTAAATTATTGCCATTTTCAAGGAACAAAAGCTTGTTGCCAGTAAAAATCACCAGAAGATTGTAACACAGGCTTCAGAAGGTCATTCTAAAGGCAATAATGGCAGTACTATTAAAATAAGGGTGCAGACTAATGAGTTACTTAAAGAATGGAACAACATTTGACTGTATATGTTTCTTAGAGAATCAATCCTATTTATTTAGAGTTTTGTATGTAACTCTTTTGTTGTTGTGTTGTTGGAATAATAAATGATCAAAGACTGAATAGCATTTTTCTCTTCTGATTATTTTATATCAGCTTCCTTGTGTTTATAAACCTGAATGTTCTTTTATCACATAATTCTCATTTAAAGAGTTGAAATATATATTTATATATCTATAAACACATATAAAAATATCTATTTATGTATCTATATCTACATATGACTGTTATAAAGCCAAAAATGTACTTTAAGTCACAAATTTTAATTTGACACTAGCTGTTGGTTGATGAGTTGTTTTCTTTCTTTTTTATTATTGTGGGTAAAATTATTAAGAATTTTTTGTGTTCATTTACAAGATTTTAGTATCAATAAAGAGAAAATAATTTATTTTTAATTAACCTATGTGTACTTTAATAAAAATATTTTTTGTGTCATCTCTTACTAGAATTAGAAATAAGTGATTTAAAAACCTTTGAGATTCCACTGTGCTATATATAAGAGTTAATAGACATATTGTGTTAATATTTTTTCATAGGTGCATTATTGCAATGGGCCTTGATAAAAAAACATCTTTACCAAAACCTCGGAAAGAAAAGAACACTGAGAAAAGATTGGAACTGAGGAAGAGTGAGGGGAAAGCAAGGAGGAATGCAGAGTACATGACATCGAGAAGAAATGAGATGGATGGGGACAAAATCTCTGTCTCAGACATTTTTTCAGTTCAAGAAATAAAAACTGGGGTCAGAGAAGTGAGAACTGCTATGGAAGAAATGGAGCGTAAAGGAAAAGCAGGTCAAGATGTTTGGGAAGATGACCAGGAAAATATTTTAAAATATGGTAATCAATAACAGAGTTCTTTCATTGTCGCTGCTGTTGTTTTAAGTCTTTAAACGTGGTTATCAAAATTTGCAATAATATCCCTTAAATGTTGTTACTCAGGTGTGGGCTGTAGGCAACTCTGTGGCATGTTAGGAATCCCCGATCACTTTCCTCTACTGTTTTGCACGGAGTCCTGTGTCATCTACCTTAGAGGAGGGCAGACCTAACCCCAGAGAGGTTGAAGGTTCTTGTGGGCACGAGGGAGGGGACGACTGGTAGTCGATGTCTGTGTGAGCTCTATTGACTTCTTCGGCAGAGATCATTTTGACCACATAGAATGTTGCCTATCCTTTTAGTTTTTGGATGTACTTGCTTTGGTGAAACTGATGAATTGCTTCGGCATCAGTTAGATATAACCTATATGATTTTATGGTCATAGCGTATTCCATAACTAAAAGCAGTTGACATAGGCCTAAAGTCCTGGAGCCTGTCAGTCTGCATTTTTTTTGGCTTTCTTCTTTTCTCTGTTTTCTTCTCTCTCCTGCCTTCTCTCTTCCTCTCTCTCTGTCTCTCCACACACACACACACACACACACACATGCAAACACACACACAAACACACGCACACACACAGACACATATACACACATTCGTATGTGCACACACACACGCATGCATACACAGGAATATCTTGTTTTACTATGCTTCACTCTATTGCACGTTGCAGATATTGTGCTTTTTACAAATTGAGGGATTGTTGCAGCCCTGCATTGAGCAAGTCTGTCGGTGCCATTTTTCCAAAGCATGTGCTCATTATGCGTCTGTGTCACGTACATTTTGGCAATATTTTGACTTTATTATTATTATATCTGTTATGGTGATCTGTGATCAGTGATCTGTGATGATACTATTGTAACTGTTTTGAGGTGCCATGAACTGCACCCAGATAACACGGCCAACTTAATGCTGTGTGTGTTCTGACTGCTCCACCAGCCAGCTGTTCCTTTATCTCTCTCACTCTACTTGGGCCTGCCTATTTCCTGGGACAAAACAATGTTAAAATTAGGCTGATTAATAACCCTACAATGGTTTGTAAGTGTTTAAATGAGAAGAAGAGTTGCAGTTTAAATCAAAAGATAGAAATGATAAATCTTACTCAGGAAGGCATATCTAAAGCTAAGATAGGCCAAAAGCTAGGTCTCTTGTGCCAGTTAGTCAAGTTGTGAATGCAAAGGAAAAGTTCTTGAAATTTTTAAAAACTGCTCGATTTCACTAATCATCAGGGCAATGTAAATTAAAACTACAATCAGATATCACCTTACCCCAGTTAGAATGGATTTTATTAAAAAGTCAAAAAACAATAGGTGCTGGCATGGATACAGAGAGAAAGGAACAGCAAATTAGTACGAACTCTATGGAAAACAGTATGGAGATTTTTTTCAAAGAACTAAAAGTAGACCTGCCATTCAATCCAGCAATCTCGCTACTGGGTATTTACCCAAAGGAAAAGAAGTTATTTTGTCAAAAAGACACCTACACTTTAATGTTTATAGCAGCACAATTCACAATTGCAAAGATGTGGAATGAACCCAAGTGCCCATCAATTCATGAGTGGATTAACAAAATGTGGTATATGTATAGCATGGAATACGACTCAGTCATAAAAAGGATCATGAATTAATGCATTTTGCGACAATCTGGATGCAATTGGAGACCATTATGCTGAGTGAAGTATCTAAGGATTGGAAACATAAATACCACATGTATTTGCTATTATATTGGAAGTAATCAATGAGCATACATGTGCACAGAGGGAAGTATAACTCAGTGGAAATCAGGCACAGGGTGAGGTATCCAAACCGTCGGAGAGAGAGCGAACTGCCTGAGTGTCCTTATTCCCAGGAGACAAAGCCTGGGTTAGAGAAATGGTAGCCATGAGCTGGGGTGACCTGTGGTGGAAGAGCTGCCTTCAGGAAAGGGGCAACTCCTAGGTATCTTCTTCTGCATCTCATATTGTTGCTACTCAGGGTTTTCAGAAATCTAAGAGAATAATTATAGCACCTGCTAAAGCACTGGATTTTATGTTTGTTTATTACTGAAATAATATGTCTATCTTTAAAAAGATTTCACTCACAACACTTTTATCCAGTTCACATCTCTCCAAGATCCCATCTAGTCTTTATTCTTATTTTGAACTGGAAATTTAAAATGTCTACTGCAACAGCAATCGCAGAGAGATTGACAAATGGGTTGTATTTTCCTGTGTTTTACCTTTTAAGACATGAAGGTTTATTAAAGTTAGGTTTAATAAAAGCTTTTCATTTTCTTCTTCTTTTTTTTTTCCTTAAACCAACACGGTTAGTGTTATGCGTGACATACTTTATAGCTATGATAAAGCGTTTCCTGTGGTCTTTCTTCTGTGTTGGCTAGTTAATGGACTTTAAATGTCCATTTCCATTAATAAAAAGCAGCAGCAAGGCTTTAGCACTGCAGAATAGCTGCTATCAGCTATCAGTAAGGGCAGCAAGAAGCCTGAGTTGAGGTCAGTGAGGAAAGGCTGTAGCTGGATTGGTTTTGACCTGGCTTTGACTCACAACTTCATTAGTGAGGTTGGTAAACAACAGGCTAATTAAATTCTCTATAAGAAGGCAAATGGGATGGGGGGTGAAGAGAAGAAATTATGAAAAAGATTTCAGAAAGCATGCCACTTTTTTGTTTGTAATTTTCATTTTAAGTTCATTCATATTGAAAACATGAGTTGATGACACAAAGGTGATGTGCTTTGGGCTATAATGCTGATGGAAGGCCCTTGGTTAACAGAAGGCTGATCTTGAGATATGATGATAGTAGGGGTAGAACACAGCCAGGGGAGCCTTGAATTCCATATTTGAAAGAAAACACAGGAGTTCCTGCAAAATGGGATGGATGCAAGGACTCTTTTTGTGGTTCACTACATGTTCCTTCAATTTCGTGCTCATGTCAATTATTTAACTGTAATTGTGTCCTAATTGTGGACACTTGTGCTGCTCCAAGTTTAATCAGGTGCCTCCATTAAAGTGTATTGCTGTCAATGGAACATGCATTATGTGTGATTAATTCTGTTCTATGACCAACTCCCTCTACTACCCGATCTCAACCACTATTACTGCTAATCCCTAATATTTATTAGGCACTTGCTGTTCATGGCACTGTGCTAAGCAGGTTCCATCAATTTTTGCTTTTAATACTCACCACAGCTTTGTGTACTATCCATGTTCTGGATGAAGAAATTTAAGCTTAAAGATGGTAAACACACTGCCCAAGGTCACATAGCTAGTATGTGTTTTAACTGGGTTTGGGCACATGATTGATTGAGTCCAAAACCCTCACATTTCACTACTATATAATACTATAGAAGGGATTGCAGCAATGCACTCATATTCTGTCTGGCCCTCTGCTTATCTTGTGACCAGTAGCAAATACCTGTAAAATTATGTGTGTGTGTGTGTGTGTGTGTGTGTGTGTGTGTGTGTATGCATGTGTGTGTGTGTATTTTGGAGCCAACCTCACCCTCTCCTTTTATGGAGTCTTCCCTGAACCCTTAAAATGACTTTTCATCCTCCTTTGATTCCATTCCACTTACTTGACACTACTTCCCACAATTAATTGTGAGTCCTATATAAAAATCCATAGCAATTGAGCCCAGTAGTGTTGAAACTAACATTACTGAGGGCCATGTATAAAAACTACTATAAAATCAGTATGGTATCTCTTGTGCACCTACATCTTATTTCCTCAACAGAAATTGGAAATTCCTTGATGGCAGGTGTTGTCTTATTGTAATGTCTTTTATCTTGCAATTTTATCCTTTTCTGCAGAGAAGGCTGTCAATAAAGCTTTATTGATTGATAGTTAACTGGGCCAAGTAAGGAATTATCCTATAACTTGGCCAGCAATACTTGGATCAAAATATGTTTGTTTTTGTTAGTATTTCCTGTTTCTGTCACGCAATATAAAGAGGATTCTTACCCTTCTGGCTTATTTTGCGATTTTATTTTACTGTTATTCACATTTCTTAAGTGTATTAAATCTCTTGTGAAAACATTTTTGTGATTAATTCTCTTTGACTTTCTTCATTACCATTTTTGATTTCACTTTTCCTCTTATATCTCCCTCACTCATTCTCTGCATTTACAGAGCTTTCTTCCTATGCACAGAGCATACATTTCTAAATTAAGTTTCTTTCATTGCAGCAGCATGCACAACCCTTAAGTAAATTACCCAAGAGGCCCCCACCACTGGAAGAGAAGCCAGAATATCTAATAACTAAAACACACAAAATTGGGAAGCCATTATTTTCCCTGTAATTTTTATTTTAAGGATAATTGTTTATTTGCTTAATTGGTTCTGCATGAGATCCTTTTGCTCTCTATCCATGGCATGTTGTCACTTCAAGATTTTTAGTTTTTGGTGGAAGAAAAAGGGGAACAATTAAATATGAAAGGTGAAAAATTATAACCACAAGGGACAGCTGGGGTTTATCTGATGTGACAATTTCCTTTGCCTGCTACAGATTTGCTGCACCTCAGTAGGGAATGAAGCAAATTTGTGGCCGTGACAGGAATATTCTATTTTGTATGAATTTTTATCCTTGGAATGTAATCATTTCATTTATTGTAGGAATGAATAATGCATATGATTTCAGTTCTGGCCTAGGTATAGAATCTTTCATAATGCCTTTTCTCAATGTCCATTTGGTTCTCAAAGAATGTGCTATTCACAGTGTTACTTCTCAGGGCCTTTGGACTTGATTAATTGAATTTTTCCACTTCACTATTCATTAACGTGATATCCAAATATTTTGAACATTTTTCATATGAAATATGACCTCACTGGGTCTTCAAATTAACTTTCATTATTATAATCCTGTTCTCTTCGTTTTTAATTTATTTCTAATTTATTGTTTTATATCAAGTTTTTCTCTTTCCATTTTGGTCATTGTGGATGATGATGTCCATTTGTAAATGAACTTTTATTAGGTTTCAGCCTTGTCATTTGGAGCTTCATTTCTTTTATGCTCTTGTGTATGTAACTGATGGCAATCTTTGATCATTTGCTATTAGTTTTCTGTGTTCACTAATTGGGTGAAAAAGAAGAAGCAAAGAAAGTCTCAGAAAAGAGAGGATAATGGAGTCAAAGTTCTCATTAAAGTGAAATAGGTTAAATATTGGGGATTCTATTTTCATTCTTATAGTGGAGGTTTTCTTTTTTCAGAATATGAAGAAGATTTTGAAGTAGATGACGACAAATACTATGAGAGAGCTAGTGAAGAAGGACAGGCTGATTATCAAATGAATGGAATCTCAAAGTCACCCTCAGATGATGAAAAATATAATTTATACCTTGAAAAAGAGAGTGAAAGCTCATCACAGAAGGCATCAGATGCCCATGACAATGTGAAAGATGGTGATGATGGATACTCGGAGAGTGACTCAGAAGAGGATAAACAAGGCGAGTTGTGTAGCTTGTCATATGACATAGGCTGTTTAGTGACTGTGCTTACCACATTTCTCTGTTTTCTATTTAGTGAGATAATCCTCTTTTAAGGGAATGTTTAGAGTGTGGTTCCTTAACCAGAGGATGGCAGTCAATCAACCTTCCACAGATATCCAAATTATAGAGTCATTCTTTAATCCTTTCTCTTTTCCTAGTTTGCTGAGATTGTTACATAAGATGTCAGATAAAGCTTGCAGTGACTAGTCTTCTATTTACTTAGAAAGTTACCATTTTTTAATCCCAAACTATCTCCTTTTACACACATGCACACATAACACACATACACACCTTTTTGTGGCTTTGGAAAAATAAAAAGTAATTCCTATTCAATAAAGGAAGAGTTGTGATTTGTGCCTTAGGTTTTTTTTTTTTTTTTTACTTTGAACATAAGATGATAACATATTAGTTTTATAGAAAAGTTACTCGTATGTTTTTTTATAATCTTTGACTCTACAATGACTTGTATATGTTCACAGGGAAGATACAGAGCTTTTCAGGTAGAGAAAGAAACCTTTATTATCTGAGGCATACTTTAAATTTTTAAGACCTTTTTAAAGACCTTAATTCACCTAAATTCTGTCTTAGTGAAAAAAGAAACCCACTTACTTCTTTCTCCTATAAGACGGTTTGGCCATGGCTGTGTGGTTCTTATATAATCAACGATTTACCTTGGTGCATCTTGGGCATTTATCATTAATAACAAAAACCCTCTCTTATATTCACATATGTGTATGTCTTCACAATTTGCTTTTAACTATAGAACAAGATTGGTTACATTATGATGACTTTTTGAGTTGCTATTTCTGCCACTGTTTTCACCTCTCAACTATTTTGAGGTATGAAATCTCAAAATTTCAAATTCAAGATGTAGGTTATTAGCATAATATAAAATAAAAGTAAATTAAGTAATCAGGTAATCATAAGAGCAACTAGTTAGTTTATGGTTCCACTCTCTTCTAAAAGAAGTCAAGCAAGCCTATTCTAAAATTTCATGCAGGCATATACAAGGCCATAAAATACAGAATAGAAATTATTTAGAGGAAAAGAGAAGATAATTTTATAACCAGAGATGGGACCATGATGCTCTGAGAAAAGAGTTTATGTATTAGGCATGTCTAATCTAAGAAACAAAATATAAGTATTAAGAAAAACTACAGAAAAGGCCTTGTTTAAGACTTTTAAAATGTTCACTGCCTGACCATTACTCTTGGGTAGTTCTTTCAACTGTAATACAAATGATGGCAAATCTTATTTTCAAATGTACCAGTAGTTAATATTATTCTAATTTTTCACATTGTGCTTTACTCTCTACTTTGGCTCTCAGGAAGCCCAGGATTAAATTCTTAACTTGTTTGTAAAGAAGAAAATTAAAGGAGAAAGTTTCTAATTTTACCTAAATTTACCTTTCTCCTGGATGGACTTCCCTACCAACTCCCAGGCCTTTTGCTTAGTTCCAGCTCATCTTCCTCCTCTCCCATGACTCTCTCCTACCTGAGCAGCCATCACTGAGCTCTTTATTTTATGAAAACCTATCATTCAGTAGTTTATTTTTCACTCATTGTTTATGTGTGTTAAATTTTGCCCCTCAAATTCATGACACAAGTTAATAACCCACAAATTAATTATACTCTGAAAAGCTAAGACTGTATGTTGTTTTTGTTATTTCTCACAGAGCTGATTTCCTAAAAGATATTTTGTAAATATTAAGCATTCATTATACTTGAGTGGCAACACCAGAAATACTAAGGTGCTTTGGTTAGTGCCATGATATCTAGTTACAATTTAGGCTATATGATTGTTATGGAAATTTTTATTGAAAAAGTTATATAGTTAGTAGCATTGTATAGATACAGAATACATAATATTTAAAATAGATATGCAATGAAAGTTATAAGAGCTTATAGCTAGTCCACAAATGTTGGGAAGTTTAGGAGGCAAAATTTAAATTAGCCAGCTATTTTCTTTTGATGTTTCAATAATGATGTTATAAAGCTACCCTTTTTAAGGGCTCTTTTGCATCCACGGCATTTATGTTAAAACAGTGCCATTATTCTGAAATAAAATCTCATTGCTTATTACCGTTTCTTTCCTCCACATCCAGCCTCTCTTATTTTCCATCCTTTTTTTTTTTTTCGATAACCTGCCCTTGTGTTATTCAAAAACATGCCTTTTCGCATGCGGAGTATCAGAATTAGAAATTTCATCCAGCAGACAAGTAGCATGTATTAAAAATGATAATGACATGATAGATTCCTTGGAACACTCTGTTGAAAAGCCAGGCAGCATTTCATTTTCAAAGGCGTAAAAGGCATATTGTGACCACTGAATCCCAGACACCAGTACATCCTTTTTATTGACATGATTAAGAATCTTGCTGTTAGTATTTGGATGTGTTTCATTTGAACCTGCCTGCACCTGTTCCCAGAGGGCAAACAATTGCCCAGGCTGTCACTCTTGTGACAAGTCGGCCCCATTTAAACTGCCAGCTAACAATTGCGTTGGCCCGCCTTGATGAATACACTGCGCTGAGCAGCTGGTGAGTGATAGAGTGCTACCAGCTGAAAACTGACTAAGAGAGGACCCTGGTTTAGGAATGATGTGTGAGAGTTCCTATCATTTAAAAAGAACGACAGCTTCCTTTTCTCTGCATTTGTGTTGGCAACCCCAGGCACTAATTCACCAGTTGAAAATATATTGTCATAGATGAATGTTATAAGATTGAGGGGAAAAGTATCATGTCGCTGAGAGTATACTTTCATGAACAGTTTGGATGATAGTGTGTATGAGTAAGAGGTCAACGGGTACAAAGTTACAGTTAGACAGGAAGAATAAGTTCTGGTGTTCTAATACACAGCTGGGTGTCTCTAGCAAATAATAACCTAGTATGTATATCAAGACAGTGGGAAGAGATGATTTTGAATGGATCAACATAAAGAAATGATGTATGCATAAAGTGATGGATATGGTAATTATCCTAATTTGATCATTATGAAATGGATACGTGCATCGAAACATCATACTGTATTCCATAAATATGTACAATAATTGTTTGTCAATTATAAATTTAATGATTAATTAATAATGAAAAAAGACTAATTAGTTCCTGATAAGAAAGAGTAGAGGTAGAGATAGAGAAAAAAATGTTTCCCAGACTATAAAGAAATGAAAGCAAGACTTGAAGCATTTATTTTCCGGTAAGAAAGATAATGATTTCACTTGTGTTATTTTCCAGTCTGTTGAAGAAATAGGCCTATAGATTTAAAATCCCAGAATCACAATAATGTTCTACTTACTTGACTTACTGACTTCAAGAATCTCATTATTTTTTGGCCTGATTAAGGGTTTGAAGAGAAGCATATGGGTGAAGCCTTCTCCTTCTGTGTTGAAATTATTATGTACTTTGAAACCACACCCTTGGAGTTCAGTGTAACTTGCCTGCCTCTTGGATCAGAGAGGACTATGGGAAGATTATGGGCAGCTTCTGGTTAGAGACTATATGTGAATTTTTTGCATGGCTAGGCAAACTTTAATTTTCTTAATGGTAAGAATTCCTCAATCCATAGTCACTTTTTCATTGTTGAAGTAAGAAGTCACAATTTTCAGCTGTCTAATTAAATGCAGCACCATTTAGTTCACATAAGATACTTTTATGTAAGGTATTTCTCTATAGTTTTGAATCTAACTTGTATATAGCAAAGTCACAACCCAGGCACTCAGTAAAGTCTTGTGAACAACAGGCTGATTGACTAGATTAATGGATACAAGTAAAATGATACATGCAGCACAAAGTGTCACATGATTTGATTGAATTTTCTATATTTTAACTCTTTTAATGTTTAGAAAGTGGGATGAAAGGTAAATATGGAGGAAATTTTAAGCTTTATTAATGTTTATTCTTAGGCTATATCTACATTTACCCCTAGTTATGTATTCTTACAAAGTAATGTATATATATATATTTGTGTCATCAATAAATGGGATATTTTAATTCATGATAATAACTATCAGTATGAGGGCATATACTCTCTCTTAAGACAAAAATCTAGTTAATGTTTATAGCTGGAATTTAATGATTTATACTTTTATTTTCATTAAGCACACATTGATTCTACACTATTTATTGAGTATAAAACACTTGTCTAATTAGTTATAATACATGAAGAATTTGACTTAGCTACAGTGTCTAATATAGAATATAAACAGATTTTTATGAACTCATGAGTATAATCAAGACAGAACTATTAATACAGGTAATAGTAGCATATATAAATTCATGTGTCATGGCTAATTTGAAGAAAAGAGGAATAGCGTTTGTGCAGATTTTGCTGTGAGCCCTTGGACTAAGGAATAAGAAAGAGACATTTGATCAGTATTAGAGTTCAGAAGTGTACTGGATCCATTGGGTTGGAATCCATGGTATGTTGGGGTGATCTAAATTTTTAATTGAATCTGCCATTTTAGTTTGTGCACTTAAATTGAGGTATCTGTATTTGCTTCCAGATAATAAACCCAAAACAAAGTATATACAATCAGGACACTAACTGAGGAAACGGTAGATTTAAACTGTAGTAAAACCATGCTCCATGCTAAGGGGTGAAAAAATGATTGAAGACTAAGGTCAGGACTTGTCATTGGTTTAAAACATACACTGTGGCTACTTGTTGCAGTAAGAGTATGGCAATAGCTCCCGAGAGAATTATCCAGTCATTGTTAGGAGAATGAATGCATACTTTAATGAGCAGGTGCAGTTGATCTATTGTCCTCATGAGAAAGGAGGCATATAACTAGTTACTCTCTGTTGAAAGTATGTAATCTGCATGAAAGCAGGGACCTGAACTTCCTTTTTCTTGTAGTACATTGCCTGGCACATAGGAGGTTCCCAATATGCATTTAGTGGACAAATGAATCTATGTAAGTGGGTAGGAAGGTAGAGGACAACTCAGAACTTCAGTTATGAGGGAGAGCAGGATTCATCCTGGATTTTCTGGGCTGGTGTTGACTGTGGTTATGTGTGGTTATGTGGGTGACTGGAGCCTTTGGTCAGGCAGATATCAAGCTGGTGATCAGGCAGTATAGACAGTGGGGATTACTGCCATATGGGCATACACACACACATCCCATCTTTATGAATGCCCACACAGTATTCCACAAATATTTGTTAGGTAACTGAATGGCATGTATATGTTCATACAAATAGCATCATGGTCAATGTTTTATTAGCATAGAAACCAGGGAAGGTTTTAACTGCTAATTTTTGCTTTGTATTCACATTGCATGCCTCAGACTGTTCTAAATGGGCTGTGGACTCTAGAGTGGTGGACGAAATGAAGAATGACCACTAGAGATATAAAAGGGAGGACAAACTATGTATTTTGACCTTGGGGAGCATTTTGATTGTGGGCAGAGAACTGTTTTCCATTTGTTATCCTTGAGTGATAACAGTGGAAAACTAGCTAGGAAGGGCAATGGTGAGTCCCTGCTTCCTGTTTGAAGGCCTTTTAGCAAGCAGAAGGGTCTTGGTTTATCATTACAAAGTAAGTGTTGTACAAAACTTGCTATTTTTATAGGTAATGGACACAGAGTATTATTTCACCTCTTTGGACCTTACTTTCTGGGTCTAGAAAAAGAAAATAATAACTATTCCATAAAATTAAATGGAATTTTTATAAAGTGCTTACCTCATTGTTTGATATACAGTAGGTGCATAATCATCATCAAGTCTTGTCTTTTTTTCTCAATGGTAGCCATGGTATTACTCTTAATAACACAAGAAAGAAATTTATTAGTCTATACCTGATATATGATGTCATAGAGAAAAAAAGACTAATTTACAAAGAAAGGATTATTCCACCTGACTAATTTAAAAATTTTCTCATGTAATTTCTACAAAGACTTATGGAAAGCAAGTAAATTTATCTCCATTTTACAGCCAAGAAAACAGTGGCTCAGAGAAGTTAAGTAGCGTAACCAAAGTCAAAGCTTATAAGTATCTGAGTTGTGATTGAGACACCTAAGTTTGTCTTACAGAAGAACATATTATTTGCTTTCAGTGTTATGTTGTGTGAAATGAGAGTTTAATTGTAGGGTGCAAAAGGAGGAAGAGTTTTCAATGAATAGTTACCAATGACATGAAAAGGGAAGAAGGATCTGGGGACTGATTGAATGTGGGGAGAGAAAAGTCAGAGGTCCTGCTTAGGACATGGAACAATGGCACCAAACCATCTGGCTTTGGCCAAGGCCTCTGGCAATGAGTGCAGATCTTTTCTTTGCCAATAAGATCAACGGCAGGTCCTTGAAGAGTAAGTACCAGGAGAGGACACTGAAGGGACAAACGGAATTGGGTAGGAAGCAGAGTTGTTTACCAGCATGCTTTAAAGATAATTTCCCCCTCCTAATGACAAAACAGATTTATATATGTGCTCTCTAAAATTACTTTATATAACATGTGGTTTGTTTCTAAAAGAATAAATAAAATTAGTTTTGAAAATCTTATTCCATGGCCCTGAAGCTTTTGGAGCTTTTTTGTAGGCAAAGTCTTGCCCCAGTGTCTGTATGAAAATGAGAGCAAGAAATGAGAGTGAAACTGAATTATATCATGAGGTTAGAGAGAAATTTGAAAACTGAAATGAATTTATATGGAGGTCAGGTGCCCTTGCCCCTTGGAGGCCATTCATTCTCCTGATCTTTCTTCTCTGAAGGACTGACTCAAAATTGAACCAGAGTGTGTTTCAGCCCTTTGAAATAAAATAATACAATTAATAGAGGCTAGTAAAGAAAGATAGAGGAGCTCTCATTTTTTTTTATTATGTGAAAAACTCTCAGAGACAAAAGTGGGAGTCATCGTGTTCATATTCAGATGGTAGGTATATTTTTGGAAGCTCAGAACAAGTATAACCTTGTGTCCTAGCTAACTGTGGAATTAAGGAAAACTAATGATTAAACCACAAATAATGAAAACCGTTGAATAAACCACTTATATTGCTTTAAAAAAAAAAAGCATAATATGCTTAAGGTTGGGGGAGCTCATAGACCCTAAAGTTTCTGAATTGATACAGATAAGATGTGGAATAATTCTCCTTGATCTGCTGTTCCCTACAGAGAGACAGCATATCCAGATTTTACAAAATAGAGAATGAAGAATGAGCGGCTAGAGTATGTGATTTCTTTGAAAAATAGTGGTCATCTGGTGTTTGTCAACGTATCGGTAGATAAGAACAAATGGAATTGTACTTAAGGGGTTCTGTTGCTTAAAGGCTTTTTTTGAGTTTGTGTTTTACTTCTGTGTAATCTCACGAATTTTTGTGGCAACTCTAATAACGTCTCTGAGACTATGCTTAAAATGCCAAGGGCTGTCACGGAGAGCTGGTGGGGCCAGAGAGATGGAGAGAAGAGGATAAGGGAAAGACAGGTGTTTCTTCCCTAAAACTCTGCATTAGCTGCTACAGCCATCTGTGTAGCTGTAGCTCCACAGAAATGAAAGAAACAGAAAGAAGAGTGAGGAGTGCAGAGAAAACAAGAAATCCAGGCAGCATTTAAATGCAGGATATTTTATTTGAAAATATATTCTATAAAAAACAATTATAAACACAGACCTATTGGTTAAAAAAGCAAAAGCGAGCTTGTATTTCTCTGGCTCACGACAGTATATGCAGTGACTTTTATGCTGTGCATCTTGCTCTCTAGCCAGTGCATATGTTACTTTCTTGGAGTTTGTTAAAAGATTTTTGAGTAGCACATACACCATTCTGGGCTACTGTAAGTTTCTAAACTGTGTATCTGTAGCACCCTATCAATATATATATGCCTAGGTCTCCTAGAATCTCTTTTACCGACTCTGTGTGCCCAACTCCCAGCTTCTGCACCCTCTGCCCTCTTCAGAGAACTGCCCTGGGCTAGTGGAGGTGCTTCACCCTCGGCCACAAAGAGCCTGGAAATGCCAGGGAGTTGACGTCCTCTTATGGTTGCCCATAGCTAATCTCTGATGGATCCAAAGTACAAAGGCCCCGCTCCTTCCTAATATAAATGATAGCCTTCATATAAGTTACACTTCAGAGGCCCCTGTGGGATCAGGTTGAGGTTGAGATGTTGCTTGAAATAGCTTCCTTGATTGATTTCATCCCCTCCTTGCCTTGCTTCCCCCACTCCCTTAAGAGATTCTCTCGGAGCACATCCTTAATACATCACCTGCACATGAATCTTCAAGTCCATGTCTGCTTCTGAGGAACTCGAAAGAAGACAAAACCTCCTTCTACACACACAAACACACACATGCACAAACATCACCTAAAAATATTAAGTGTCTAGGTACTGTGCAAATGCATAGATCTTACTATACCCAGATGTCAGGGTATACTATTAATAGGACTGAGGATGTTACGGTAGATAAAAAATTGTTTCATGCACATAAAATACTGTGGCTATACAAAGAAATAAGTGCTCTTGCTGTACAAAGGATTATTCAATTTTTTTTTCTATAGCAAAGTAGATATTTATGAAGGTTTTCCAATAAAATGGCTTTCAAAAACAAAAACAACAGGGTTGGTTTTTAGTTAAATGGGATCTCCTATTGGAAACTTCTACAGACTCATGGTTTATATAGGTTTTTCTTTATCATGACACTTATGTAGATTATATGGGGAAAGGCATCAAATCTATACTAAGGTATATTTTTAAAATTTTGGTATGATTAATTATTAACATAAGTCTTAAAATTAAACTGATTGCTTTATGGAACAACAATGATGTCATCATTTTTATTTTTTATAGATATAAAAACTACTTCATTAGCCTCATCCAGAAGTCACCACTATTCTAGCAGCAGTGAGGATGAATCTCAAGCAGGAGACAGGGAAGCCCACACTGAAAACAGTGCAGGAGAAAGTGCCAGAAGTTCATCTTCTCCGGAACTGAGTGAAAATGATGAGCCAAGAAAAGCCCGCCTCCCAACTGAGGAATCCTTAGAAATTGAAATTGAAGAACAAGAAATAACAAAAGCAGATGTGGAGACCAAAACCCTGCCAATAGAGGGAAGCTTTGAGAACATTCTTGAGGAAGAAATGGAGAAGGGAACCCAAGGGATTGCAGAGAGGTTATCTGAGAAGTCCAGGAAACATTCGTCTGAGGAAGAAAAGGAAAAGGATAAGAGTAGGCTATGGGAAGGAAGCACTGCTGAGGTGAAGGACAAACAGGCAGGCTTCCCTGGGGTGGAGAAAGGTGGTAAGTATGGCCACTGAGTTGAGCCGTCACTGTCTGCTCGCATGGAAGCTGTTTGGTCATTGCATTCTGCCAAAGCTTGGGAAATACTATTGTGATATGCTTTAGAGATTCAATATTTTTCTGTTTCTCTCTTTGTCACATGATCATACATGTATTTTCAGCTTGCTGTTTCCCTTCTATTGCATTTTAAAAATTACCTGATAATTCTTATATAGCCTGTTTCCTATTTTCTGTAAACTCCGTCAATTCTAGCTCAAGAATCAAATAAAGCACAACATATGTCTGAAGGCAAGGGTATGTGTGGCTTTCTAGAGGTTACTTAATACTAGTAATGCCATTTGGTCTTTGCTATATATGGATTTATATATACCTAACTAACATTGATAGATGCTTAATATGTTCCAGGCATGATTCTAAACACTTTCATATATTATCTCTTCGCATCCTCACAACAGCCCAATCTCTCAGTGAGTTAAGTCCTACTGTCATCATCCCGTTTTACAGATAAAAAATTGTGGCTTGAGGAGGATAAGTACATTGCCAAGGATTATACAGTTAATAAGGGGCCTTTCTATGATTTGAATTCAGGCAGAGTGGTTCCAGAGTTTGTAAAGATTTCCTACTGTATCTGTGTAGTAAGAAATTAGATATAGATAAAAAAAAATGAACATTTTCTAAGAAATCCTGAACTCCACTTTGAATTCTTCCCTAAAACTGAGTTATGAATACTTTCTGGTCCATGGGGCTCCTGAGTGTGTAAGATTGTTCCATTTGAAATTGGAAGAGTAAGGAATGTCAGGACAGTCAGGCCTCAGGATCCTAGACACGTAAAAGTCTGATGCTTTTCTCAACTATGGGATGACAGTGAAAAGCTTGGGTTGTGTTCTGTGGACAGCAATTGTGCCTGCCAGATACCTGGCTCTCACGTAGTATCCTGTGTCCTGTAACTGGTTCGTGGTCCTTCTCCTGTTCTCTCTCATCTGTCTCCTCTGCCCATGCAGTGAGTATTCTTGATTCAGGACACAATTTGCTTTCACATTTTATTATTACTAAATTCCATCTGTGTTTTAAAAACTTATGAATACTTTTAATGGGTATGTTTCTTTTAGGCCCTTAAAGCTATTATCAAACCAGTGGGACCTACTTCTAGGAGTTGAGGATGTTGAATAGTTACCTATCACTCCAACCATTATTATTCTTAACCTTCTACTATGTGTGCAAGCCGCAGTAGTCAAAAAGAAATGTGTAAGAGAGGCTTCCTCTCATAAAATGTTAAGAGGAAGGCTTGGCACACTACTGGACAAAGGTTAGTAGCAGGCGTCCTCAACTACAGCCTGCAGGCCACATGCGGGTGTTTTTGCCCATTTGTTTTTTTTACTTCAAAAGAAGATATGTGTAGTGTGCATAGGAATTTGTTCATAGTTTTTTTTTAAACTATAGTTCAGCCCTCCAACAGTCTGAGGGACAGTGAACTGGCCCCCTGTTTAAAAAGTTTGAGGACCCCCGGTTAGTAGTCATACGTAAAATCAGAGAAGGTACCCACAAAATGCTACGGGGCTTCAAAGGAAGAGAAGACCCATTTCATTGGAGGTTTTCATGAAGGACAGGTTTGAGAGACTTTAAGATTAGGTAAAATTTTAAAGATGGGATGTAGGAGGATAAAAACATCCCAGAGAGTGGGGTATAGCAAAGGGTATGACCTTTGAATAAATTTTCAAAAATAGCTCTAGAACAGAATTTGACAAACTTGAGCCTTTGGGGCAAATCTGGCACACTACTATCTTTCTATATTTTTTTGTTTTGTTTTGCCTGCAAGCTAAGACGGTTTTTATATTTTTAAATGGCCCACAAAGCCCTCAAAAAATTTTAACTGGGCCTTTTATAGAGAAGGTTTGTCAACTCCTGCCCTACAATCATACAAAGACTGCTAACATTTTCAAAAGGATTTTGCCTATATGAATCAAGACTCTTGTTAAAATATATTTGCTACCCTTTATAAAATAATTCAAATGTTTGATCTCATTATTAAATTCTGGTGCATATAAGGTATAATCTAGAAAATTTGCACAATGTAGCAAGCTGCTAATCAAAAAGGTAGAGGTGTTAAGTTTCAGTAGAAACATTGACATTATTTTTGTTTATTTTTTATTTTTACTTCAGAAAACTAGGTTGTTTACCTGGATTTACGTAAGTAAACATCATTTTGCACTTAATGGAGGTTGTACTTAGGTGATAGATAGCAGAGATGTTGGATTCTGATCATGTTTCCTGAAAGGGAGTAGTTTTTTTTTTCTTCTGGATTTGTGAAATGAAAAGGGTATCAGTTTATTATCTTTCTCAAATATATTGAGAAACCTATGTTCCTGACTTGATAACATCCATAATTTCAAAACATTTTGTTATTATCTTTTTATTAAGGTTGGTTCAACACTAGATGGCAAGGTTTGGGACTGTTTATCTTCGTTAAGCTCTGACATATGTGCAAAATCTTTTTATTAATTTTTTAATAATAGTAAATACACATGGAATGACATTTAGAAAATAGAGAAAAGTAGTTTTGAAAAATTACCCATACGTTTATTATGCATAAAAAAACCACTTTTAACATTTGGTTAGGCTTTTTATTTCTAAACTTAGGGTTTACAAAGTTATATTGTCATATTTTTATAAAATGTATTCTGCTTTTATCTTAACAATATACCATAATCACTTTTTGATATTTGTTGTTATGTTATCATGTGATCTTTATGAACATGTTTAATGTCTGCATATTATTCATTTTTGTGGTTTTCTCATAATTTAACCATTTGCCCCTTGTTGGACATTTATATTTTTTTCCTATTTTCACTATTTGTTATTAGTATTTTTGTATCTTATTATGTAAGGTAATTTCAAATTTATAATTATTTTCTTGGGATAGATTCCAATAAGTATAATTTCTGTATCAAAAGTTACAGATTTCCAAGGTTTTTGATACTTTTGTTCTCACAAAAGATTGGTGTAAAAGTTTAAACATTACAAAACAGACAAGAATAAAGTGAAATTTAAAGTCTTCCTCGCCCAACCTCTACTCTTTTTCACCAAAGATAACTGTGGATAACAGCTTTTTTGTGTAAGATTTCAGAAATTTTGTATGTATAGGTAGATAGAGATGTATATATATGTATAGATATATTATATATGTATATACATTATTTTTATATATAGATGGAAACATAGGATACATTTTGTTCTGTGACCTGATTTTTTTCACTTAACGCTGTATCTTTGATCTCTTTTCACATCAGCAGACAGCTCTATTTTGTTCTCATTCACCTTACATCTTGTATCACCATAATATTTCATAAGGTTGCAAATTTTCTTTAAAATGTGTTGCCTTCTGTGCAAGAACTCAGTTTTTTTCTATGATGCATCTTCCACAAAAGAACAAAATTTTGGGGTTAGGAAGCTTGGAGGCAGGGAATATAAAGCACACTGGAAAATAAGACATTAATAGGCAAAACAAAACAAAGACTATATAAAATTTTCAGAACGGTGTAGAAGGATTAATGTTATCAAAAACCTAAGAGTGAATAAACCATAATAGTTGGGTGTTCATGTCTTTTAAATGTAATCATTAATCTTTAGAAAAATGATGCAATAAATTTGTAAATATTTTAGACAACAGATTTAAAAAGTCATAAATATTCTCAAAGTTTTTTATCTGAATAAAAAACTTCTAAGAAAACTTCAGATAAAATCATCCAGATCCTGAATGTATAGATCATTATATCAATACTGACACCAAACAAAGATGTTACAGCAAGTTCAACTTTCTTAATTGAGTCTTCAGTGAGATGGCTCAGGAAGAGAGGGATGGAACCAAATTTGTATGTTTGAAATGAAAGTCCATTGAGGTGACTATTCTGCAAAACACAGTGCATATAATTAGAACAGAAGGCTGGGGAAGTCCCAAGATTGAAATGTGGTTATTTTACTTAGATCCCTGACATGACTAGAACCTTAGGTTGAAGTGAAATGAGGGCTGAGATGATGTATAAAAGACTATTTCTCATATTTGTACGTTCCTGAATTAATCATTTTTCAATTATACTTAGAATAAAAACTGTGATTATGTTAAGAATAGACCTAAAAGCTAAAAAATTATATACAATTAATGATATTTTATAGTGTCTAAGCTAATACAATTTAATCTGAATTGTTTTTACTGAAGATCATAGCACTGGATAAATGAATAAGTACAGTCATTGTCAATCATAACTTTTAGGTTGATAGCATAAAATGATATCTTCCTTCTTTTTATTTTATAATATGTTTCATTTAATTGGGCTTTGTACAGTCCATCAACAAGTCAGATGAATTATATAGAATTCACTGTACGCAGTGAAGTGGATAAAGTAAAAGATTGTAATTTCTAGCTATAATGAGATAGTGTCCTTGGGAGTTAATTTGGTGTTATAGGGCATAGTTATGTTTTAATATGTTTCTTTTTTCTGTTATTTTCAGTTTAAGATGTCATAATGCATTGTGACACAATCTTGGCAATATGTTCTAAGGGTGGAACAATTCAAGTGCATTTGTGAAGTTAATATAATTTATATATTATAAATATAAATAAAATATACTATATCTTAATATAAATTATAGTGTAGAATGTATATGCAAGTAGGCATTTTACATTTTTATATGCGAATCAGGAAAAGGCATAGTGGTTAGCCAAACCCAAATAATGTTATAACTACAGTGAAATGTAATTTTGCCATCATGCAGGCAGGATAAAATGGTCCTGATGAAAGGAGATGGTTTACGAGTTGAGGTCTAAAATACAATTTCTGAATGAACTGTGAAAGGATGTAGTTGTTCGTTCCAATAGATTTCTTTTTTCTGTCAATAAATATTTGTTGAGAAATATCTGTTCTCAGTGTGAGCATAACAAAGTCCCTGTCTATATGGAGTTTATATTCTAGGAGGCAGCTATGAGGTATCTGGGCTGAGTGCTA